GTTTAGTAAGAACGCATGTTGGCATATATATTTTTTAAACTCATCAGAAGACCACCGACCTGCTGCTTGAATTAGATCTGGGGTCATTCCTGCGATAGCTAAAGCTGTAGATCCCCCAGCTCTCATTGAGTGACCCGATAATGCTGACCCACAGTGCGTGCGTAAGCATCGAAGGAACCAACTTCTCGTTGGTATGGATCCCTCACTCGTCAACCAAAGCGCGGGATGGAATGTGAAAGCCGTATCACGATGCGTGAAATACTGATGCAGTAAAGGTAGTGGATCTAGGCCGATGACCGAATTCGACAGTATGAGGATGGTGGACCCAGTCCCCAAACTGTCCGTCTTTTGGTAAGGTAGCATGTACGTGATGGAATTAGCAGTGATGACGAGGGTGTGTCGCAGTGGTACCTTTCGATATGTTTGATGTTTGAGAGCGTCGGGCCACGTAAGTTCTCCGAGTCGTTGTAAAGATAAGAAACCGGTGTATAGTAGCACTAGGAAGAGGCTGTCGTCGTGTCCTGGTGATGGTCCCATTTCTGTGCGAGCTCGTTGAAGGTCATCCACATTCAAAGGCAATTTCCTTTGAACTGGTTTTGACATGCGGCGTTTGCAGCCACGGAGGGTGCGAGCGACGAGTGACGAATGGTGTGCTGCTCGTACAGATGGATAAGAGTCTTCCAAGCGATTAGCGATACCAGAAAGATATGAATCAACAGAACGAGGTTCGATATGGTGCACAAGCCACACCACGTAGAATGAAAGTGTGTCTGTTGTAGGGTCGATTGGAAGATGATGTAGTCGACAAAATGTGATATAAGAGTTAAGGTGGGAGTCATAGGCTGACGCCGTCGTTGACTCGATTGCAAAACCGAGTGCGATAGAGCGCTCGTATAAGAGACGCTCAGGAGTCCAGGCTTCCTGCACGGGTTGCCTGGACAATGACGACACGTGCATCATTTTTCCGCTCCCCCCAGCGCACTTCGAGGGGGTTCGAAATCAAAAAAGTTGGCCGTTGGGACCAACTCCAAAACACGTTCGTTTTGAAAGCGCGATAGCGCATCTGCGATTGTGTTCTCGCAGCCACTGACATGTTCCACGTGTAAGTCCACCTCGTATTGGAGCAGGACGTCGACTGCGGAAAGCAGGATTGAATTGTAAGGAGGGTGAGCGCGAAGGGAATTGAACATTACTACGGTGTTCGTGTTGTCCGTATAGATGAGCATCCTTGATGGGGTTTCAGTCATGTTGCAAATGGCATGCACTGCTGAGCAGACGGCGAGAGCCTCGAAGAAAAAGATGGTGTCTTTTGGAGCGTTGGCAGGCAAGGGTGCTTGACCAGCAAAATTGTCGTGAGGGAACCAAAGGCCCATTCCTAATCCTGAAGCGTCCGTGTAGGCTACCACCACATCATCTGAACGTGGATCGAAGTCCAGTGACTTGTAAAATATCAAGCCAGGAAGGTGATCAATATGAGAAGCCATCCACGTAAGTTCGTTGATGATGGCATTATTAACGTGGAGTCTTGCGTGAGGCTTCATTTTCCCGCGTATCTTCTCGTAAACGGCGGACAGACCTGGCTTCAGTAGGGGGAAAATATTAAAACCCCACTCACACCATCCCGTGAGTTGTTGGAATTCGCGAAGCGTCCACCGAAAGTTTTTTCCTGCGAAATGTCGTAGGTGTAGGACTAGTTCTTCCTTTTTATGTGGTGGTAGTGTGGCTGACATTGTGTTTGGGTCGATGTCGAAACTGATGACCGTGAGTGGAGAGCCGAAGAGCTGTTTTGGACGATCGTGAGGAAGTCCAATCTCGTCCCAAAGTTGTAAGAGCTGTGTTTGCTTAACTGGGAATTGACACTGGTACGGCGGGTAGAACAGCATTTGACCAGCTATTTCAAACGAGAAGGAGTCGTCCATATAAAGTTTGAGGGCCTCAATCAAGGTTTGATGGATAGCGATCCATGCGACAAGTGACATAAAGGAAATCCAGACTTTGGGGGATCCTCGCCCTCCAAAGTTGTTATTTCGATCAACATAACGCTGACCGCGAACTGTAAGCACTTGCTTGGCTTGCCACAGCGGGTGCATAGGTAACCTTTGAAACGCTTGGGATACATCTGATTTGAACAAAACTAATTCTTCATCCGGATGATCCCGTCGAAATTGTAGGAGTGATGCCCCTAGTGAATGTAAGCCGTCAAGCTTGGTACCTTTAATAGCATCTGAGTCGATCATTGAGTTTAGTGAGAAATCCCCCGCAGTGTGGTCGACGACGAGACGGAGCTTGTCAGAGTTTGGTTTAGGTACTGTGTGCATTGGAACGCTATACATTCCTGGAAACAAATCAGTTCCGAAACTTCGAGAGACTCGCCCCAAACGAATCTCTTCATCAAGTTGATCTTCTATGAATTTAATTTGTTCGTCCGTCTTCGCGCAAGTTCGCATTGAGTTATCATTTATAGACGGGTACGAGTCGTCCAATGCATCTGCCCACGGCCAGAAACCCTCGCACAGGGCTCGATAGACGGATTGTACAAAAGGCTGATTAGGATGACCCGCTAAAAGCTCCTCAAAGCGATCAACATTGATTGGGGTGACTATCTTGAAGAGATCTGGGTGATTAGCAACCGTATGGGCTGCATCACTATTGGCGAGACATGAAGGAGCCGTCGGAACTGGATCTGCATACTCTGAGGAGCGTGCAGTTGGACTAAATGAGATGTCCATTGGTGACCATATCAACCCTCGGCGATGACGTGGACGTTTGAGCGGTCCCTCAGGTTGGTTTGGACTTTCCATCCTCGACATGCTTTGTTTTAACGTGTCGGCAGCCGCAAATTCGCCCGTCTTGCTCATAGCTGCAGACGTGCGCATATCGGCAGCTGGTTGCACTGCGCGTGCAATCTCCACTGTTCCATTTTCGACAGGGGTCACGTTTGACCGATGCCGAGGACTCATGTCCTGCAGACTTACTGGATTCCCCTGCGTCATTGTGAAGTCGTCCACCAGCGGAGAAATGGGAGCTGTAGATGTCTTTGAAGTACTCAAAGTCTGACAGCTCGTACCTGCGTGTGTTTCCGACTCTGAATCTGACAGATTTGTCATAACGGAGGACTCGTCCATGGCACGACTCCAGTTGTTGGTCAAATTGCTCATTGATGTGTTCTGAGTAGGCATTGAGCTCAGCCTGTCGATAAGGGAAAGCGAATTTGAAGGCTCGTGCTGCCCTGTTCCACGCCGTGTTCCATTGTCCTTGTGTGGTAATCTTCTTCGTGGCCGTTTCAGAGATTCTGTATGTGAGTTCAACGTCTCCGATGCTCTCTGTGTGTTTGTCGATGGCACGTGAGGTGGTGATGATTGTGTGGATGGCATCAAGGTTGATACTCCTTCCTGCGACAATGTCTGCCCATCCCGACTCATGGAACTCTGGACTCCATTCATGGTACATGAGCTTAAGCTTTGCTTGTTTCTGGTCCTGTGCCCAGTTCTGGAGAATCCGGATGGTCTGTTTAAGGTTGGCTGATAGGGGCTTACTTGGTTCCTGGTGCGCTGACGGTTTAAGTTCGAGGCAGGCAAAGTCGAGCTTAGCTCGCTTTCGAGCAGGTTCTCCTGGCTCAATGCTAGCTTGCTGACTCCCGAGATCCTCTCCTCGAGGCTCTTCTTCACTGCGCGAGTTTGACATTGGTTCAACCGAACGTCGTTCTCTAGCGGCTCCCGATCCTCGTCGAGTAGCTCGTTCCTGTTCTGATTCCCACTCGTCAAGCATGGTGAGGTAGATAGCCGCGATATTAGTGGGCTCTTCACTTGACTCAATGGGTAAACACTCCTTGATAATGCCGACGATGACATAGGTTGCTTCAAATTTGGTACCCTTTCCAGCTCTAAAATCTTGGACGATGTCGAGGCATCTCTTCGCCATGTCTTGTTCGGGTAGATGCATTCCATCAGTGTCAGTTTCAACTGAAGTCCCGCGCATTCCTGGTCCCCTAAGAGATGATTGTGCTTGCGCCATATTGCTGGCATTGGTGCTTGAGATTGTGGGTTCTGACATGTACCTTTGAAGTATGATCGAGCTGAGTGAAACGAAGATTCAATAGTGACGAAAACAAACGGTGCAGGAAGTGCACGAGCAGACGGTGCTCAAAGGATGAGAGTGAAACGTAACGACAGGAGTCTCGTCCGTTTGAACACTTATATCCAATTGAAAGGGGCCTCTAAGGATGACGCTGAGTCACGAGGCAGAAAATTTCGACCAGCGTTGCGAATCGATTCAACTTGGATAAACAAGTTTAACCCCGATAAATTGACTTAACTACAGTTTATCGAGTCGAGTCGGACCGTAAATTATATAAACCGAAGTCACGTGCTCGCTCGGTTATTTACAGGTCCGGCTATGGCTAAAACCGGCATTAAGCCGAACTTGCGGCAACACTAGCTTGAATATTGAATTCCTAGTAGGTTTGTGCATGCTTCAATACTATGAGTACATTTTTTTTTACGGCTATGGTTACTTTGTCAACCAGGAAGTCGATGTTTCTCAGTAATCTTGCCAATGCCCTGACATTCAAATTTTGCAATCACCAGCAGGACAACTAGTTTTATTATGATGCAGGCTGGAGCTGGAGATGTGCGTTTCTCGACAAACTCACCAGTGGGTATTCAATCTGATCTGGATGAGGCATTTACGTTGTATCTCACACTCTCTCTGATATATCTTGCGCAGCCTCTCGTAATGATCTTAGTGCTGTCAAATCATGATCTGCCTCTGCCAAGGAGATGAACTGTGGCTCTCCTATAAAACCATTTTAATATTTCTTGGTCAACACGTTGATGCTCTATATTATGAGTGCCCAAGATCACATTCACATTCCACTTGATACCGCGCAGATCGAAGTCTCCGAGTTTCAGTCCCTCGCCGAAGAGCAATTCAGTTCTTCTGATTGATCGCACAGGTGCTGATGTGATGAAACCATCTTGCACAGTGTGCACACATCACTGACGGGCGGGCATCAAGAACTATTGCTCGAGGAGTATAAAACTAAACCTAATCTGCATGGTGGATATAAATTTACGGAAGAACCCCCATTTTCTCCACTACATCCCACATCGCTGTTGTAGGATGGTTGCCAAGATTTTTGCCTTCCTTTCAGTACTTGCAGTCTATGCAATGGCTGCGCCGTTCCCCGTTGGAGGTAAGTGTAGCGACTAGCGTTTAATTGAATCTATATTGAATAAATAATTTAGGAGAAACTTATGCCGCTGTTGCAGCTTCGGAAACAGACTTTGGGTCTTGCTGGCTTGGCAAGAGGCATGTGATGGATCGCTGTAAGAATTTCAGCCAATTTAGCATCACCGCGCATTGTCTGAACTCATCTGCAGCACCTTTTCCCCCATGCTAAATCTTTTCTTGACTTGGCGCCATAGTTAGGCTGAAGGAATTGTGGCGAAATCACAATAGATAATAGGCTATTTATACAAGAACTTCAAGAATTGTTCGTGAGATATCTTGGACAACACCTTCAATCTATTTTATAAATGTCGTTTGAATTGGGCGCACCTGGACTTTTGCCGAGTACATCGGCAGCTCGCTAATAGCTCAAGCTGACGCGACACGGAATGTGCGATATGCAGCTGAGCCCCCTTTGTCTGGCGGAATCATCACATGACGGTCCTATAATTCTGCTTAAAGAGGGTAGCCACTTATCCATATATTCCTAGTAACTCACTTGTCCAGAACAGGGCCAGTCGCTTTGATCATACTAGCAGTCGCTGAGACTTACTGCAGTAGGATTGTTGATGGCAGCGAGTTGGCGGTCTCGCCAATTGACAGCGACATCATCATATAGCTTGCACCAGTCTCTGCAGATGTGTGTGGTACCAACGCGGTGTTGTTCGAAGTTTCGTGTGGTGAAATGTCGTGCCTCCAGTGTGAGATCTGCTTGGCAGAGTCTTAGATAATTAAGGCAGTAATGTGAATACTTCAAACTATCATGGCAGCACCACAATCTTGGAGATCAGAAATCTTGCAGAAACGCTCCTGTAGTGGCTAGTTGAGAGGAAGTCTGAGGAACGACTGTCTTCCTCACCGTATCGACGGAAAACGACGGAAATATTGACAAGTTACGAGCAAAATTATATCCGTCGTTCTGCGTAGATATGGTGAGGACCGGGTTTCACTGGAACTCGTTCTTGGAAGTGATGCATTTCAGAATGTGTAAGCTTGCACCCGGACCAAAAAGTACGCAACGTTTCAGAACCCATATTTCATCCATTCAGGTTGGTACATATATCATACTATGGAGTGGCCCAGATGTTCAAAGGTCCACATGTCTCAAGCAGCTTTGAAGTTTGTCCAGAAGCAACCGTACAGTGATCGTCTCTGAACTAGGGATGACACCATCAACCACGGCACCAAAGCGAAAGCAGACTCGGAAACATGACTTACTGTCGCAACGTGCCGCTCAGGTTGCCCGCCCATTATGAGATTTCAACGCAGGCCAAATCTCCATGCTATTAGAATTACAAGGCGCTAAGGGTGAGTCATTTGGATGGACAGCAAACTACTTATACTTACGTTTAATTGGCAAACAAAGTCTGGGCAACAATCTGCAGTCGTTTTGCAAGCATATGTGCCAGAGCCAGTGTCACATGCACTGACAGACATGGATGTTGTCAAAGCAACAACAACGGCGAGGAAGGAGAAACGCATTTTTTAGTGAGGTGATACGGAATCTTCTGAGGGGGATCTTGAATAAGAACTCTGAGGATGGGGGATACTGTAGGAAGACGGCCAGCTTTTATATCCTGCGCATAGTAATGGGCAAACTTCTGAATCGATTCGGCAGAATGGTGATCGAGCTACTGTGACGCGGTCCGCGCGGCAGGACCGCGTCGATTTCACCTCAGACCTGGCCCGACTACATACGAGCAATGAAAATTGCGCACATATGCGCCCTATACACACACATCATGAGTTGCACACCACTGACATCAAATGAACATAAATTGGGAATGTATCCGAATGTTTGGAACCAGGTAAATCGAGTGGGCCGCATCACTACTGGACCGTACTAGTAGTCATGATGGTAGGAAGGGAACATCGTGAAGTCGGACTTTGGAGTTAGAAGCATTCCTTGTACGCTGAGCAGCAGATGCGATTTTTGTGTGAATACATTGAGGGATCCATGCAGCTTCGCAACCTAGCTGCGTTCGCATGAAAGCCCACGTCATTTATTATCGAACTCCATATACGGCACTTTGCGTATTTCTGTCGCACGCCACGAACGCTCTTATCATGAGTACGATCTTCTTTTCGTCACTTGGACTTTCAAAGTTCAAACCCGCCTCATCGCGCTCATTTCGACGGACAGCGAAAGCCTCTGCTCGGGGGATGACGCGTGGTTACGTCTACGCGCTCATTATGACCGCTCACATAGAAATCTCACGCTGACGCAGGAACAATGGGATCTCAAATCGTAACGTGAGTAGCTGGTCCTGCCTCTTCAGATGCCAACGTGCTCAAGCTGGAAGGCGTACTTGCTGTCCCAAATATAGTGGAATCATGTCGAATGGTGGGTATGCAGTCCGTTGTCTGATGAGGAGGCTATGCAGATCCGATCGCTGGTTCCTTCCATGTACTCAGCCGGCTGTGCTGCAGTTTTCACAGTGCTCGATTGCAAATTGTCTAGTGATCATAACAAACGTTTCATTCATCCTGTCATTGGTACATTAGGTTAACGTTACAGGCGAGCGTGTCAGACTACTAAGGATATCATACCCAAGTTCAGCATCGTGAAGACATCTCAATCTACAGCTTTCAATTGAACAAAAAAAACACGCATCCAACTTCATAGGAAGATGCCTTAACCACTTTTATCCAATGGCGACCTACAGCTAAACGCTGTCGCAGCACCCGAGGTTTGGAACGCAGTCACGATCGACTGGACGGCCGAGTACGCGCCCAGAATAGCGCAGGACAAGCACGCGAGCGCGAGAAGGAAGTTCCACACATTAAAGAAGGCATTCCTGTTGAAGACTGTGGCAGCACGGTTAGATTTGGCGTGGGGGAACTCTGCGGAAGTTGGTACGTACATGCACGTTTCCAACGCGATGAATCCCTCCAGGTATCAACACGGTGGGCATCGGGGTTATTGATGTCAAATTCTCTGTCACCTTTTGTGGCATCCATTTGCATGAAGTAACCCAAGATCATAAATGGCGGGAAGGTGTATGTGAACTCTGAAAAGTGGTTACGTTGTGGTGACAGCAACTAGAAAAGTATGAATACGCACGGAAGATGCAAACGGCGGCAATCAGCGACGAGATGGAGCTGAACAGCGGGACGGCGGAGCCAATAACGAAGGCAATGGACCAATACACTAAGACTGAGATGGCGAAGAAGTATTTACCCCGAGTCACAGTCAACTGGGGGAAACCGAACAGTTCCACCAGGATGTTGTTGTAGATGACTTTGACACCGATGTTGCCATACAAAGCAGCAGCAATGAGACCAGCGGTCAAAGAAATGGCGTTCGTCGCAGTCTGTAAACCATAAGCGGAAATTCCCTGGTTGGCCGGCTGGAACAGCGTTGTCAGTGGGATTCCAGATCAAGAGGAAAAGGGCGAACGTTAACGACGTATTGGCCTTGGTATGAATAAACGAAGAGGCCGAAGAACATGTATACGACGAAGATGAAGATCTGGGAAAACGCCATAGCTTTCCAGAAATCCATCGGGCGCCGCATTTCAGCCATGAACTCAATGAAGATCATGCTAAAAGAATTCATTCATCTGTAAGTGGATGCCTTCACGAGTTATAGTGACTTACGCTCCACCGTATGAGAACACAATCTGCATGATACCATTGAGCTGGGACTGGAAAGGCTGTAGGTTGATTGCCTGAGTCATCACAGGGCCGGTGTTGCTTGTTAAAAAGGCGGCATAGTTAGGGCTTGAGTTAGCCACAGAGGCCATCGTCATAATCAAGGTGATTATGTTCATCCAGATAGCGAGATTGGCGACCGAACCAAACTTCTGAAGAGTTCGAATTTGGCCAAGCACCATTCCGGCTATGGTCCAAACAACGTTACAAACGCTAAAGCATAGCTATAGATGCGGCTAAGTCAGACGAAAAAATGCGGCGAATCATGACAAGCGCACACGAAATTTTGCCATTTGTGAAAGACCTTGGCCGTTACTGAGAATGATAATACCGACATTGAACACGAGCTGCAGACTTTGCAAGATGTTGCAAACTATGGATCCATTTGGTATCAATCGATTCTCGTTCATGAGCGTGTGTACGTACGATGCCGGAACCAACGACCATAGATGCGTTGCCCTAATTCACCGAAAGACTTGATGGGATATATATCCGAGTCCAGTTTCAAGAACATCCACCATAGGAGGAAGCCACTGTATGCAGCCATGATACCGAAGACAAAGAAGCAGGCTACACCGGGACCATATCCGACTTGTTGGAATGCCCACGGGGTAGAGTAAGGACCCAAAATGTCTTGCGAAGAATGAGAACCCATCAAAATCATCAAAGATGTCAATCAGCTTACCGGTCGTAATAAGATAGAACACGCTCCCCCACGTGGCTGTTCTAAGAGCTCCAGAAGCTGCACGGAACTCGCCTGCGGTGACTAGAGCGCCGCGGCCCTCCTCTGAAGCAGTTCCATTCTTCTCATCAGATGATGCAACGGAGCGGTTATCAGATGCCTGGAAAAACCCGAATGTTCTCGAGATCAGGCGGTCCAAACGACCTTGAGCTTCATTCTTAGCAAAGAAGATCTCCCTTTCACGTTGAATCTTGGCGAAGTACATGTATGTCTCGAGATTGGGCGTAGTGCCATCAGGAAGATGGTGGTTTTCAGGAATATACGCATCCTCAGGCTGCTCTTCCTTTTCTGAACGATAGACCGGAGGCGCTTCAACAGTTGCAGGCTGGAACACCATTGTGGTGGGAGCAAGGAATGGGGACAGAGAGTTCGCGGCTTGATGCGGTAGGCTTTATTTGCCTAAACTGTGGGTACTGCTGCATGTGCTCGATATCGGCATGCGATGCGGTGCCATTACATATCATTACTATCGGGAGACAGAAATACAGATATTCTGAAACATATGAGCTGGCACTTGAATGATGGAGTGCATGTTTAGTTCCTGGGACACATGCACCCCGCACGGAAGCCTGCATAGCCTGGCGTCGATTAAAGCCAGTGAATTAACCTAAGCGGTGACGGTGAGCGTCGGTCATCGGCCGTCAGTACAACGTGAACAAGTTACGAGAATGGCTGGCACGTTCATGTGTACAATCACTTTAATGATTAGCACCCGCGATAGTTGGGCGCCACCGCAGCAACAAGGAGATAAGGACCGCATGATTGATCTTGCACGGATGATATTTATGTCGAGACCAACCAGCGAAGAGCAGGCAACTATATTAAGGATGAGTGTTCGCTGCTAGTAGACATTATATAAGCCACGTACCTCGCGCACATCTTCAGCGGCAACGCTATTTATATACGCTGCGTTATCGAGCTCGTATGGATCAGTGTCTGGAGTCCTGCCAGTGGAACGAGATGCTAATATTAAACTCGCCTTATCGCTTGTTCCAGCGCTGCTCAGATATTTTCAAGCGGCCCGCCAAATTCAAGGCAGCTTTGGATACAGGTGCCGCTGTCGAGTGTTGAGAGGGAGCGCCTTACATACTGCTGATGGACAGGGACTGACAGTACTGGGGTGTTGGCGTACGTTCAATGTCACCGCTTATGGGCGGCTGTTGACGGTGGCGAACAACATCTGGACCGAGGCCTTCGAATCCTGAGCGCATGCTATTGGTCTTCGCTGCGACCTGCACTTTCTGCCAGGCAATCATGTTCAAGGAGACGGAGGGGGGTTTTGCACTCGAAATGTGGAGTCGGTTCACGTTGACAGGTTCTTATATGTGGTACTAGAACCGCCACAACCTGTCACTTCAGGTCTTGTGATCCTGAACCCGCGTGGATGGAAAACATCAGAAGCAGAGACATTCCGAAAATGCTCACGGCGTGCGTGCAGTTCTAGGCCATTCTGCGGCTAAGTTCTTGACAGAGTTTTGCAGTTTGATTTTGCAGATATCTCCTATAACTCATTCCTTGAAGATACTTTACAACACATCATCATGTGTACTACTCTGCCCTCGACCACCTTCACGCTTTCCTAGGTCGTGAAGGAATCGTTTGCTTGTAAAAATGCGTCATGATACCCTCCGTGTGTGTCATCGTCAGATTGAATACTGGATGTGTCGCATTCTGCATAAAAGCTCAATCAGTCACTTGGCACGTTGACATCGGTACAGTAAATCACCATCCGGTTATTTTGCGCTCCAAGTATGCGAGACGTGCCCTCTTCCTCTGTCCAAGAAAGAGAGTGAGAGAAACAAGCTTGACGAAGTTGCTCGTGCGTTGGATCTGATTCGAATGAGCAACCAGCTTTCCTATCAAAACTTACGACCTACCAGGCGGGGTCTTCCAACAGCGAACAATGGCATCCTGCCGAGTGGATGATAGGAAGACATTATGCTGAGCCGAGGATAATCCTGCTAGACAATACAGTGTATGGTATGAATCTGCGGGCCTGTTGAAAATCGTTAACACATGATCACATAAATGGTTCCACAACCCAATTACTTTGGAGGTTTGTCGCGCAGGCCTCCTGCTGGGTGCTGGGCTGCGCACAGGATGTAGCGCTGTAGGGCAGCACGATCCCATAAAGAATCTGCACATGCGTCCATCTATCAGCATCTCTCGTCATGCAACGACAGCAGATAACAAACCATCAACATCATCCCAAGCTTCATCCTCTTGGGCAGTAGTAGATTGGTGGTTATCATCACGGCCATGTGCACCAACGATGCCTAGCGAGGATAACAATGCAAAGCAGCCCCCGACCCACCAGGAGTAACAACCATCCACAAGCTTGTTGGTGCGGCCCTTGAAACCACCAAGCTCGATCTCCGAGCCTTGCATCTGCACCAGCCATCGCAGCAGCGTCTTGAAATTCAGAGACGGCCGCTGGAGCGAAGGCTTTTGCAGAGCAAGGTACGGTTGAAGCATGACCCATGACGCCAGAGAGCAGAAAGTGTAACCGCCGTGAGCCTCGCCGAGAGGCGGACGCGGGGAATCGAGCAGGATTGGAGGACCCTCTGGTTCAGGGGAGAAATATGGTTGGGACGCGGATGAGAAACCTCCTTCATAGGTCTGACACGACATGATGAAGCCAGGGACGCCCTCCAAAAGTTCCGGCGTCAGCATGTTCAGCAGATGAGCCGTCACAAGGAGGCAATATGTACCACTGTACAATGTATGCATCAGCAAACATCAACAAAAACCCGATCAAAAACACAAACCGGACATCCACTTCTGCATGGTGTGCTACAAGGAACGCCCCATCTGGTTGCTTGATAGACATGAAGAACTCATACATCTTCTCCCTGGTGGGGTATTAGAAAAACCTCCATATGGTTAAAATTCTGGAACTCACCGATCGATCTGATCCCATCCTCCTCCTGGGCCAGGCCTTCCAACGATCGCTAGCGCGCAAACCGCTGCATAAGTCGGCAGCAAATGCGCAGCCTGCCCCGGCCCACCTCCAAATCCGCCATCTGAATGCTGCCATGCCATAATAGTGTCGATGGCCCTGCAAAGAAGCGCATTTTAAGCCATCCCGGTGATCTGGCGGCACTAGCTGCGCCACGCACTTCTGTTTATTGTTGGGATCCATCCCCACGCCCATGACGCTGAAGCTTTGGAGTGTCCAGTAGAGCAACCATGGTTGACTTGCGTCTTGGCTGATATAGCGGGATGGAAAACCTTGGATTAGATTTCGAACCAAGAACTGCAAATGTGCATCTTTCTGCAACGCAGAAGGCGAATCTGGGCTGAGTGGGAGGTGCTTGAGCAGTATGGTTTCCGTTTCTGTTTGGTGGTCTGTTGTCTCAGTTTCATACGAATCATGAGGAGACCTTCGCGGCTGCGACATTGCTGCGACAGATGATGGTCAGACGTAACAACGATTGCAGTGGCTGCTTGCGCAGCATTGGTCAAGACAATAACAAAGCTTAAACCTTACAGATCATTACAGAATAACTGATCGTGATCGTGAAATGCGAGACTCATCATGATGTACGTGCGTCTATCTCTAGTACATCCTTTTTATTTATACAACAAGCAAGATATCTGGAGTACGCGTAATCTCACAGCACTCTTTCCACCAAACCCAACCCTTCGCTCTCCAAGAGTTCACGGATGGGGTCACAAATCTCCTTTGTGTATGGAACATGAACTCCGGGTGTTTTAAAGATGCCATCCAGCACAAGCTGCGTCGCAATACCGCAAGGAACACCGACAGTGAGTGCCATCGCGGAATGTCCAGATGGGCTGCCGTATTGCTCGAGCGTCGAGGTAAGCGTTTGCTAGAAGGTGATTAGAAAATTTGTCTGGGAGTACTTGCAGCAAGTGCATACCTCGCTGCCGTCAGCCCACTCGACCACGAACTTGTGCTGAAGCATGACGAGGTCCCGCTCGCCCTGCTCGTACTTCATCAGCGTCTCGAGTTGCGCGCAGAGGGTATCGAGGAGGTTTCCTGCACGGGGCTTCACAGCCTCCGATGAGAAAAGTCCAATCCAGCGGAGTCCAGAAATGATGCGGGTAGCTTCGGCATCATTAGGGAACTTGCAGACCGACTTAATGTGCGCGACGAGGGTGCTAGATATGTCAATTCAATGATGCATTCTACACAGATTCAAACAACCAGCCGCTTACCTTTCTGAAGCATCATTGGCACCGATCGCCTTTTGCATGACCTGGGCCCAGGTCAAGCCCTCCTTCAACCAATCCTTCTCGGATGCGTCAAGCCAGCCCAACTCAACAAGTGCCTTAATGAACTCCGGGAAGCCTTGGTATCGGAGAGTGCCGCGGACTACGGTCTCTGCCTCAGGAATGTTGTACCACTCCCTGAAGGGCACGGAGTTACGGTTCGGATAAGCCACGAACGCAAATGCAGGCGAGATAAAGTAGGGTTTGGCATATCCCATCAGCTCATTGCCGGAAATGTCGAGCTGTTTACTTTCAGAAAGGTAGGATGCTGAGTTAAGCAGGGCGAGAAGGACACCGCGAGATGACCACGAGAACTTGTAGCCGAGTGGATTGCCCGAGCACTCTGGTGCTGGGAGACCACCGCAGTAAGATAGGAACTGTTTGATCTGTGGAGACACATGAGGCCGTCTGTAGAGATCGAAAGCACCACCAGCTCACCTTGCCACCTTTAGCATGCACCTCATCGATTGTCTTGATCGCGTACAAATGGTCGATGCCAGGGTCAAGACCAATTTCGTTCATGACAATGATCCCCGCTTTCTTGGCCTCTTCATCAAGTTCACGCATTGCAGGGGAGACATAACTGGTTGTAACGACATGGACCTTGGCCTTTATCGCAGCCTTGATGACAGTCACGTGGTACGTGTAGGGGATCAGAGAGATGACGAGATCATGTGCAGCAACCTGAGCCTCGAGGTCGCTGGTGTTGTTGACGTCAAGAGAAATGCCCTTTGCATTGGGAAGACCCTCTGCCAATGCTTGTGCACTCTGGAGCGTGCGGCATGCTGTAGAAGGAATGAAGATCACCAAAATGTCCGGAATTGATTGACCTACCAATCGTTAGCGCATTGGAGGGGTCGCGTACAACATACTCGGCACATGGGCGTGCAACGAAACCAGAGCCGAGGAGAAGTACTTTGCGCAGTTTCTTGCCTTCTGCCGCGACTTTAGCAGCCACAGCAGCACGTCCGAATACGGGCTGGATGTCCTTTCCGTCCTCCAAGAACGATTGAACAAATTGTGGAAGCACGAAGGCCGCTCGGTGCACATTCTCGTTATAGTAGCGAGTATTGGTCACTTTGCGAACGGGCGTACTGATGTCCCGACCTTGCTCCTTCGAGCACACCATGAACCCGATCTGGCCAGATGGGTAGGTCGGGATCGTAGTGAAGGCATATCGCGAAACGGCGAACAGCTCTCGTGTGGACTTAAGAAGGTCGGCGATCAGGGGAATATGGAGCCACTGAGATTCTGCCTGTGTCGATATGTGCCCCCCGGGTGTCAGTGCATCGTGAAGAAGCTTGAAGTAGGGCTTTTGGAAAAGAGCTTCTGCTGGACCGACCGGATCAGAGGAATCGGTTATTATCACGTCGTAGGTCGCCTCGTTCTCGGCAAGGAACTTGAATCCATCACCAACGAAGACCTTGACACGAGGAGACTCGAGCAGCGCAGACATATGCGGGAGGTATTTCTTTGAGACCCTGATCACGGCCTGTACCTTTATTAGGAAAGTTTCTGTGTGTTGCACCTACTCATGTACATACCTCATCGATGTCGCAGAGGACCACCTCCTCAACTGTGTCATGCTTGAGCACCTCTCGAACGACGCCTCCATCGCCACCCCCAATAACAAGCACCTTCTTCGGGTTTGGATGGCTGGCGAGAGGCAGATGCGCTATCATCTCCTGATATCTACGGATGGGTCAAGCGACTCGAACAATGGCTGATGTATGAGTGACATACGAGAACTCATCTCGTTCGGTGCACTGGATGACACCATCGAGAACCAGTACATTCCCGTAGGTCTCGGATTCGAAGACGAGAACGTCCTGGTAAAGAGATTTTTCGATGTGCAAGATCTTATTGACCTTGAGGGTCATGGCTTGACCAGGCCACTGAGAGGAGATTTCACGGAACCAACCATCTAGCAAGTCCAATGACTCAAAGATCAAGTAATTGTTGTATGGCACTTACCTTGAATCGAAGGGTGTGCGAGGGGTGGCATTTTTGAAGTCTCAACAAAACGAGTCAAATGCAATCTTCGTGATTTTCTGAGCTCGGATCTAGCCCTATGTCCGACTGCCCGGGACGGCCCGTCCAGTCGTGTGACGGTGACACTGTGACGGATCCCGAGAAGAGTCTCATTGCAACTTTGTTGCAACTTGACGAATGTCCTGCAGGGTTCGTCGATCTAACGTTGCCCTAGATTCATGCTCCTACTCCCGGCATCAAGATGCTAGTACTTCCCGAGCAGGCGTTGCCAATGCGGTGCATTGATATTCAACATTGAATGTCGGGAGTTTGACTACGCCACTGCCAGGGACCCTCTAGAACCGAGATGCGGCGGCCCAGTTCTATAGCCTGGAGCAAGCTTGAGACCAAGCCGGAGTAAAAATGGTGAACAGATGGCCTCCCAAAATCCAAGAATCGAACTCACCGTGCAAGTCGCCCAGGCCCTGCAGCTCGCTAACACTGGAGCTGTACCTTCGGTGCATCGTCGTTGGCAGTTGCTCTTAATATCTGTCGTCGATCTCGGTGTTGCTCCATAAATATTGTCAATGTACTAGGTACCAGTTGGTACTAAGCTTAGTGTACCAAGCTATATATATGCACCGCATGTTAGAGTATTAATAAGCCTTCTTTTAGGTCCATAATGGGCGGAGTAGAAAAAGAAGTCAAAATCACGGAGTGCAACGACGGATCTGGGCACGGAGGAAGATCGACTGAATGACCTAACCATGGGACCGAGAAATACCGAGTAGTTCAGGGTTGCTGAACTGACATATTCCACAAAGGCGTCACTAATCACAACCTCAGGTACCTAGACAATCGTCGATGATTGGGAGCGCTGCCCCTGCAACGTGTCTTCATAGGTCCTAATACTGCACTTTAACCTGTCAAAGAGATCTTTATCCTGACATGTCAGTTAATCGGGTGCGTTTTCCCTTTCTTTCCAGGCGCTTCAAAACACCGGAATGTTATACTGTGGCTCGACATCTTTCTTTCTTACTTTCATCTCGCAATGAGTTACAGACACTCCCTGGAGGATACTTGTAGAGTGTTTATTTCGCGTCCGCGACGTTATAATCAACCAGCACTCACCCAACATACATTCCAGCATTCCCCGATGCCTGGCTTCACGCCCCTCGGGCTCGGGACCCCAACATCCTTTTCTTCCTCAGAGTCACCACAAAGTGTTTCGGATTCCACTTTGTCGCTTCCCGACGTCATTCAATTGCCTATCCCAGGAGTCGCAGACCTCATTCCAAAGACGAATCGGACGTCGCATGCCAAGCGGCAGCCTGCAGGACACATCCCTCGACCACGTAACGCATTCATTCTCTTCCGTTGCGACTTTGTCCAGCAAAAGAAAATTCCTGGTCATGTAGAAAGTGACCATCGAAACCTATCGCGCATCGCAGGCAAAATCTGGAGAGGCATGAAGAAAGAGCAACAGAAACCGTGGATCGACCTTGCCTTGAAAGAGAAAGAGCGCCACGCGAAGATGTACCCTGGGTACAAATATATGCCTGCGCAGCAAACTTCAAAGCAAAAGAAGGTCAAGAGCGACCGCGTTGCTAAAGAAGAGAGAGAGCTGGAATCCCGCAGGGCGGAGTTATCGTCCGTCTTGGTACAGCGCGGACATGACGTGAGCAGTAGCTCTAACCAAACTGCGCAGACTGCTCCTCGGTTTACTCCTTATGCCGCTCCCTCGCGCCCACGACGCTCGTCTTCGTGTCCCCCTGTTGGTGCGGAACCAGTGTACCCGTCCACAGACCTTGAATCTTGGGCCCCGTTCTTGGTCACTCATGACGATTTAGCTCGCCGTCCGAGCCGCACCACCATGTATCACTCCGTTACCTCGGAGCCAATTGCTTCACCCATTCCAGCGTGCGACCTTCCAAATCTTCAGCCTGGTGGAGATCCTTGGTTTGGTGCTCCAATTCCATATGCATGGCCTCTTCCAGACCAAGAGGACGACCCTTTGTTCGAGACACAGCTTGACTCTCCCTTCGGGCAACAGGTGAGTATTTTCATGGATTTTAGGATTGCTTATCAATGCTTTAGTAGGACGCCGAACTTTATTCTCAACATCCCGAGTTCATATATTCCCCATTTGAGAACCTTCCACAGATGTCCTCTATGAACATGGACAGGGGAGGGGCGCTTGGGTTGGACTTTACGAATCCCTTCGATCTTGACGGTTTCCCATTTAATGCGGATAGTTTCCTGCCATCGTCTTCTGACATGTCTTCAATACTTTCTCCTCTGGGATATCCTATGTCGAGCAACCCGAGCACTATGGAGGGTACGAGATAGAGTGGCGGGGCGTCCTTCTTACCCAGTCGGAACCCAATGGTGTCGGTCAATTCAAGGCGGGCAGGTATGTGCTCCCCTGTGATGCTTGTTTACTTACTGATGGTGAGATATCTTCTAGGGTCCCGCTTGTTCATCCAACGATACATTTCGACAAGAACGAACTTGCAGATATCTTCCTTATGATACCCATGCCTGTTCTTCGTGACTTCTAAGATCATATGGTAGCCATGCATTGGTAATTGATATAGAAACAACCTACCAAAGTACGAAAATATTTATAATCTTTTCCTGGAGAATATGCAGCTTTTAGAATAGTCTCTGTTACATAAAGCATCACTAGGACTCTCAATAAGACTCGCTCTAATTATGTCGTTCTCTTACCTGCGCCGACCAAATAGTTGTGCACGGAATCGAAACGACACTGTCGCCAGGCTCGCACTTGTCGATATGAGCCAATGTGGAGCCCCGTTAACGTTGGTGTTAACACGATTCGGTTCCTCTGGAGCACCCGAACCCAGCTGCGCACAATCCCCTCTAATTTTGTGACCCTGCCCAGTGCCTGTCCGACGGAGGACTCACAAATTGCTGTGGCGCGTTGCGGGAACCTGATCGGCGGAGCAGAATTAAGTACTGCGGAACTAACCAGGTCAGACAAGTCGACGGAGGACTCACAAATTGCTGTGGCGCGTTACGGGAACCTGATCGGCGGAGCAGAATTAAGTAGTGCGGAACTTACCAGTCAGAACAGTCTTGCTCGAGCATAATGCTGCGCCGGGTTGTCTAAACACTTAACTGTGTCCCCTGTCGTCCATACTAAAGAAAGATTATCGTATGAGATAGATACATCATCTGATTTTCGGGGTACCACATGTGTACTGGTTCTGGAAAACGACGGTCATCAGACTTTACTGCTCCTCGGCCGCCTTCCGTGTAGAGATGAAGAAACATCATGATCGAACTCATGATCGAGCGAACGATCACCGGTTTCAACTACTTATCTGGGGTTGCAAACAGCGATAACTTGATCTTCAGCTTCGCATGCAGAGTGCCTTCGTTGTCAACATATATAGAGTTGCTAGAACAAAAGTGCCAGTCAGTGCGGGTCATCAAGGGAGAAGATCAAGTATCAAGATCGGTAAAATCACGGCTCCAAGCACATATTGTGACACGGACCGAGACGAGGAAACAAGTGAGAAAACTTACTCATGCATTACCCAATCGCCCAACTCATTGCAGATCTCCGGAGCTGTGCTGTATTCAAATTTATGTAGAGCCCTTCAGTAATCATAAGACGATCAGTACGCCTAGACTTCGTTGAGTCAGAAAAAAATGAACCTACCTCACGTGTGCAACCGACAGATGCTTGGGCTCGGGCTTGTATCTGTCCGCTAATTCTAACGATATTTGAAGCGCATTAGATAGACGACTGTTTTTCTGTTTGTGGGCCTCGATCAAAAGTACAGCGTCTGAACTCGGACGCGCTGGAAGACTATCGCCAGAAAGCCCAATCTCTGCGCACCAAATCTTTTTAATGCGCGCCATATAAAAGCGTAACCACCATATACGACCTGCAGGGATTGATGCCACCGCATCAGCGTGAACTATGAAAAACGAAGCGAAACAAGCGGACTACACACCTCCTGCAATAAATTCGCAACGCATGTCTTGTGTAGTGCGCAGGCGTTTCTGAAACATTCTGATCCGGAAACTAGCAACAAACTGATTCGGTTCACTACCAGCTACTTGAATCTCGTCTGCTGGACAACCTAAAGAGCGTCTCAAAGGCTCGTCCTTGGCTGATTAGCATCAATACATTGATGGGTCTCCTGGGCGGGATTTATTATGTACTTACGATCATTACTATTACCCCCAAGATTCAGCCGCGTAAACAATTCGTTGTCGCTGGTTGTCATGCATGCGAGGCGCAAGTCGGATGAGCAATCCGACGAAAATTGGGATATAAATCCAGCAAGGAACGAAAAAGTTTCTGGCCGGTTATTCACAATTGCCCAATACAGCGCCGTGTGACCTTCAATATTGCGAGTTTGAAGGAGGTCCGAAAACTCTGCGGCTGGCAAAGTAGCAGCACAGGCATTGACAGCCGAGGTGACAGAGGAAGGGGTTCCGAAACCCGGGGGTTGGGAGACAATATCACGGATGCAACATAGGGCATTATTCCAGTGCTTGCATTGGACGGAATCTGCTGACACAGGCAGATAAATTAAGTCACACAAGGGAGGTGCGGGAGCAACTTCGTCAGACTTGGTAGCCATTATGGAGGAGAGAGCGACAGAGGAGATCCAAACCTAGAGGGGTTTATGACAAGAAAATAGGGGCCTCCAAGCACGAGAAACCTCACGGCGAGCGGACATCGGAGAATCGAGACTTGGCAGAAGCGGTTGGACTCAACGAATGACGAGCATCAGAACTGTAGACGAAAAGAAGTGTATGGGCGGGAGTAAGGCGTCTATCTGCGGGACCACATGTCACTACCTCATTCACATGAAGCTCGCTATAAACTTTGACAGGTGGAGGAAAAGTGCAAGTCTAGCGTTGCTGCTTGTGGCAGTTGACAACGGTCCACTGGGGGACCGGCCGACCGGCGGGCCGCACGATGCCGTACAGGTGGGACATCGGTAAACTTAAACGATCGTCAATCAGGATCCACGGAAGCAAATGCTTGCTAATAGTAAAGTCATATGCTCAGGCGCAACAGCAAGCTTGAGAGGTTTATCCCTCTTCATAACGTGTCAAATTCTTCCCAGCGCTGTTCATCGTCGTCACCATGATGTTCAGCGGTGATACTTTCAAGAATATTCGCGTTTACTGTCAGTCGCAAATGCTGTTTGGTGGTCATGTTTTTGCTCAACACTTTGCAGGGCTCGCATTCGTGGCTTACTGGGGCATCATTCTGTTCGGATATGACACGTATGTTCTTCTTCGTCGAAACCTCACAAACGCCTGTCTGATTGTGACATAGCGGTATAGCTGGAGGTGTCGTCTCCCAGCCTTACTTCGAGACCAATTTCGGTCTAGTCAACGCCGACGGCACCATCAACAAAAGCAAGGATACTGAGGTCTCTTCCAATGTTGTTTCTGTGTTGCAGGCAGGAGCATTCTTTGGCGCTCTGGGTAGTGCACCTATCTCGGGTTAGTACAGCGGTGACTGCTCGCCGATAGACTGATACATTCCGATCACCACGTAGCTTGGTTGGGGCGGAAATTGACATTGATTGGTTTCACCATCATTTTCGCTATTGGCGCGGTAGGTGGTTCTATTAAACAAAGTGTCCGATGCGGCCTCTTACCCAGGCGGTTCTAGATACTTACCACGGTTGCCGGTGGTAGCCGGGGTATTGCATACATTTACGGCGGTCGAGTTATCTCCGGCTTCGGCATCGGTGGTATCTCTGCTGTCGCGCCCGCTTATGTCTCTGAATGTTCGCCAAAGAATGTCCGTGGTCGCATCACTGGGTGTTTCCAGATTATGGTGGCCATCGGTGTCATGATTTCATATTTCATAAATCGTTTAGTCCGCGTTCATTCATTTTGATTGGGATGGAGCTCACGCTAATTACCTAGTTGGTGTCAGCCTTCACATGGCGGACAGCCCCAAAGTCTGGAGAATTCCTTTTGGATTTCAGCTTGTTCCTGCGGGTATAATGTGCCTGGGTCTTTTCACAGTCAAGGTCAGTGATCCCGACCTTGAGTAGAACATTGCAGATCGTTCTACTGCAGGAGTCTCCTCGTTGGCTTGCATCCAAAGGTTATGCTGCGGAAGGCATTGCCAATCTTGCATACTTGCGGAGGGAGACTTCTGATTCGGAAGAAGTACGCCGTGAATTTGCTGAAATTGAAGCTGCTATTCGTGAAGAACGGGAGGCTCGTAAAGGCCTTGGATTGAAAGAAGCCTTCTTCGGGAAGGGAAACTTTGTCCGATTCGTCATTGCCTTCGTGATCTTCTTATTGCAGCAATGGAGCGGACAAAACTCTGTTGGCTATTATGCACCTCAGATCTTCAGCTCCGTGAGTCTCCCCATATCATTCCCTCATCTCTCGCTCACACGACAGATATTAGATCGGGTACTCAGGGACGACCAATTCTCTTTTGGCTTCTGGAATCTACGGTATCGTGAAAGTCGTTGCAACAATAATATTCGTGTTCTTCCTCGTCGAGAGTCTCGGTCGTAAAGCCTCATTGTTCATATCCGCCATGGGAATGGGAATCACGTTCTTCATTATCGGCGCTATTTTGAAAACACATCCCGTCGTCACGCCTCCGGCTGGCCAGTCTGCGCCACCTCCGGCACCGTCTTCAAAAGGCATGGCTGCCATGCTTTACATCTACGTCTGCTTCTACTCTATGGGATGGGGTCCTCTTCCGTGGGTTTATGTCTCTGATATCTTCCCCACACGGACTCGGCATTACGGATTGGCCGTAGGTTCTAGTTCGCAATGGCTATGGAGTGCGTGTTAACTAGTGGGAAATGTTGTAATGCTGCTGACTCGGTCCTTTAGACTTCGTTGTGGCGAAAGTCACCCCAACACTCGAGGTTGATTTGGGATACAAACTCTTCATGATGTTTGCTACGATCAATCTTGGCGGAATGGCGGTCTTCTCCCTGTCAGTGTATTCATGTACCGATTCCTTGATCGATGCTTACACTATGCCCAACAGGCTCCTTCCCGAGACCAAGGGTCGTAGTCTAGAGGAGATGGATATCATTTTCGGCTCAGTCAGCGCAGAGTCCCGCGAAGCGTTCATTGAACGTGCGCTCGACCACGGGGAAACAAAATCCCAACAATCTATCGACCAGAAAGTATAATCTGCTTCACCGTGCGCGCTTGCCTATCAACATTGCTATTACCTGGGATGACCACAACTATACTGGGATAAGTTCAAGATCAGTAGTATTTATACCGCTACTAAACTGCTTGCTGCTCGACATTGCTATGCCGTTATCTGTATTTTACAAGCTATTTGTTACCCTCACGTTCAATGTATACCATTAGCGGTGCCCCACGGCTGATGGGCTCTAGTCAAGATTTACAATGGTTCTATTGGACGCCGTATACTGTTTGTGCATTCTCATTTGCGCGCTTCATGATATCTGCGCCATTCCAAGGTTGTCCAGCTTTTCCTGCGGTGTATTCTGCAACCCACGGGATCATGGCAGTGTGACACAAGGGCAACCTGCTGCCTTTGATTTCCGGTATAGAGTTGTAGAGGTTAGAGGGGACCATGTATGGCGCATCCGTTTCCAGTAGTATACGTGGTCCACCATCGCTCGCGGCCATCTGACTGACGATATTCGATGTGTTCAGGTTCGTCGAATATGTGATGACCCCTTGTATGTATTAGACTGGTTCAAAGGTTTATCGAACTCAACAATAACAGGCGTACCAGTGATCCCGATGTACAAATTACAGAAATGCTGAAGCAGTCGCTGTGCGAATTCTGGGGAGTCTGTGAAGCAATGTATATGTATCTTTGAAAGGGGATTCATTAAATTATCAGCCTCGGGAATTTAAAAACGAGAGTGATCGCTGGCAGCACCTTGTGATCGGCAGGGACGTGCTCCATGAGAATCCTCTCTGTGTCCGCCTCCGCTTCGCGCGTGTGGATCGTGAGCGGCTTGCCCAGCCTGACGGCATGCTTCAACTGTCGGATGAAGACTTCTTGCTGGATTGCGCGTGGGGAGTTGTCGTAGTGGTAATCAAGACCCATCTCTCCCCAGCCTACGCATCGTGGGTGGGCCATCGCTTCGAGGCTGAAACATTCGAATCAAATCACCTGAATAACGAGGAACGTGGAAACATACATGGAAGCCTCAACTGAATCGTCGTACTCCTTTGCATTATGTCTGGGCCGATCATCAGTTCACTCTCGTGTAAGACGCACGAATTAGTACACACGGGTGGACGCCTGTCGGAATACTCTTAGCGCAGGAATCGAGAACAACGTGCGATCGGATAGCTCACCCATCACAAACCAATAGTCTACGCCTCCCCACTTCTGTTCCCGATCCTCTGCAGTCAGTGCCGAGTCCGCAAGCTCCCTCCACGTCATCAATACAGGTGCCTCACACCACACGTCTACGATCGCCCTCACGTTGCGATCGCGATACATCTCGCGCACAAAGTCATGGATAGTGTAAAGCGTCCCGTCCTTGTACTTGCTCCGGTAAGTTGAGAACGTTGACACGAGGTGAGTGTGCGTGTCGATGATGGGCTGGGCAGCAAGGGAGGCATCTGCGAGCGGGGGAAGGCGGAGGTAGGTCTCAGCAGGGGTGGTGTTGGACTTTTTTTTGTTGTTCTTTCCCATAGTGCGATGGGCTGTGGTGGTGAAATGGACGTGAGGGTGTAGTAGTACTGATGCTCTCAACAGCTGACTCGTGCGAATGACAGTAAGCATAAGGTCAAAACTCAAAACCGTATGGTCTCGACCTAAACAAACAATTACTTGATGGATTTAAAGGTGAGTCGACAGTTCAACATAGCGTGACGATCTTTGAGCGCGAATTGTCTCGAGGGATGCGGTGGTAAAACATGAAGCGGGTAACAAAGATTTGGTAGTGCATAGTGGATCGGATCCAGCCTGGCCGCTTAACTTTCGTAACATACAGACATATCTTAGCACATACTATCCCAGACTCCAAACCATTGGCGGTGTGTAGAGTCTCGTGTTAGTACATTCCGAATACAATACATTTTTTAAACCCCGCACCTCAATTCAAACACCGCAACTTTTGGACTCTACACACCTAGCCGACTGGCACAACTTGTTGTGGCGTCAAGTTTGCCACTGTTTGAATTCCTTCCGAACGATGGATCAAGCCGTCAGGTACACCGGGAAGCTTATTAGTACAACGGCAGGTGTGACAAGGTAATATTTATATTATATTTATATTATATATATTCATATTATATAATTATATTTCTAAATAACCAGTACAGCAGAATCATGCACAACATCGTGCAAAACATGAGGTGAGGAGTACAAAATGAATACAGTACCACTCCAGAGTCCACTGTGCACCCCCAGAATGAGCCTCGAACTTCGACTGACGAATGTCCTGCAGTGCCTGCAGCAAAACAACCTGTCGGCAGCGGGATTCGTCAGTACAATATTGGACAGCAGATATACCGCTCACGCTGCCAGCCAAGACTCGCTGACAATGAACGCAGCTCACATTTGTGCGCAGTTATACGATAATGAGAACTCACATACATCGGTTTTTTTCCTGGGCAGCAGGAACACTACGCAGAGAGCTGTGTGAGGAGGTTGCTGAGCTATCACTCGAGCACCACGGCCTCCACTTCAAGGCCACCTCCGCGACTGTGGAGCAGCTGGAAACGACTTTTATGAGTCAGCTCACCGTAACGATGCAAGGAGTTGCTCCAAACGTTTGGAACCTTGTCTCAGCTTGACTCGACAGCAGAGAATACCGCCGTCGAAAAATGCCGCACCCTGCTGGCCACGTTCCAGCACCCGAAGATACCCCTTCACAGAATGAGATGGACTTGGGCGAGTTGGGTGGAGATGAGCCACATTTTGAAGACGATGATGACGGGGATGAAGAGGACGATGGGGAGTTTGACAAACGACCAAGGAAACGGCAGCGTCGTGCGGGTGAAAGGAATGTAGCGCTACAACACATCGTGAGCGAGTTTCGATCTCCGGTAGTGTAACCCCATTGTACAATGATTTTAATATCATGCAGGTCGAGTCCCTTTTTTTCAAGTTGAGTACATTAGTGCGCACATTAAGACTAATGTGATAGTCACTGACCATTCCCGCTGCGTCGGTGCAGCAAATTCCCCACAGTTCACCTGCTTGAAGCTGGTTCATCACATCAACGCGGAATTCCATCAACATCCCAGAATGAAACCAGACGATCTTTCCCTGCTGATGTCCAGGCACATCTGACCACAAGCGGTTGCAAGTCATCTCCACCGAAATCCGAGAATTCGTGAAGATCATGAACTTTGGCGGTGGATTCACGTCTCCGAGCCTCATTTCCAAGACTCGGGTTAGATCATGCATGGTATTACGCGGGAACTTCATCTCTTCAACAATAATGCTGATGTTTGGACGGTTGTTAGACCTGGTGACCCTCGCAACATTATGTGAGCGGATGCGGAGCATTGAAGTGACATCGGCCAAAATGTGAGGTGGCATGGTTGCCGATACGACATGAACTGATACATGGTCCGGCAAATACCATCTAATGTTCCCCAGCTGACTGTATAGCGGCCTGAAGTCCGCGCCCCATTCACTTATGCAGTGCCCTTCGTCGAACATTATATTGAATATCTTCTCAGTGAACTTCTTCGACTTCCATAACGCCTGAAAATGTGAGTCGCTGAGTAACCGTTCTGGGCTGACCGTAATGACGTGATATTTAAGCTTCTCAATGTCCTGCGCAACATTAATGATGAAGAGATTATCAGAATTTTGTTACATACCTTGAATGCCTGATCCGAGGCAGTCTCTTTACACAGATTGATGGCGGGGAAACCCAATGCCTCTGCCTCCTTTTGATTCTTTTCTCCTAATATATTCAGCGGCGTCACGATAATGATAATCCCACCTGCGTTAAATAGGAGAGGAATCCAAAATGTCAATGTTTTTCCAGAGCCGGTTGGGGAGATCGTGATAACATCCTTGCTGTTGAGCTGATATTGAGCTGCCTGAAGCTGCCAGGTGCAGGGAGACAAGCCAAACTTCTCTTGGACAGTTTGCTTCATGTTCACGAAGCTTGGGACATCGAAACGACGAGGAGACATTCTGAGTATGGTAAATGTTAACACTTAACAGAAATGAATCCAAAATGGGATTGCATCAGTCACGTCACGCAAATTGACCTCCAGGGTGCCGTCTGTCCGGTGTACCTGACGGCTTGATCCATCATTCAGAAGGAATTCAAACAGTGGCAAACTTGACGCCACAACAAGTTGTGCCAGTCGGCTAGGTGTGTAGAGTCCAAAAGTTGCGGTGTTTGAATTGAGGTGCAGGGTTTAAAAAATGTATTGTATTCGGAATGTACTAACACGAGACTCTACACACCGCCGATGGTTTGGAGTCTGATACTATCCTTGCGAGGCTGCATCTTTGTACCTCGCGTGCCGTACATGTTTTTAGGTCCAATCACTACTGCAGAAACGAGAAAATAATCGGGCCAGATTAGACAAAGAATAGAACCTATAATAGGATAGTAATACGATGTATGAAAATAGATGTTTCTCCAAATATTAGGGTCAGGAAAGGTACATTTGCGGTGCACAAACTCGACACCGGAAACAGTGGATTTGCGGGCTCTCCATAAGTGCACTACAGTCTAATCCCACATCGGATTTTAGGGATTTGCACGTCGAGTTTACTTCCGATTAGAATAGGAAACAAGTCTGATTATTATCTGATTAATACTATCGTGCGTGCGCTACTCGTGCTTCCTAGGGATCCTCCATGCAGCTCCAGATTTTCTCTTGCTTCCTCCCCACGGCTCGATGCTGCCCACTAGTAACGCCATGTATCCTGGCCAAGGACAGCGACAGCCTAGTAGGGCTCCCAATGACCTGCCAAACCAATTTAGTCCAGCGATACGCCACGGGGACCAGGGTGCTAGACATTGAGTGTCACTCAACATCACCTGTCAGTACCTGGTCGTGCTCGCACTACATCTCTGTTCCTGTCTCCGTCTCCGTTTCCACTCCCATCGACTCCGCTAATCCCAATCCCAACACCAAAAACATGCGCAAGCAAAACATCAATGTGAGGTGACTAGAAAGAACTATATCAGACACATTAACATTCTCGGGTCATGAGATGGGCACAGAAGGAGTACTAGTCCAGCTGTCCTCTTGCAAAAGTGTATCCACATTCTGTATGATTGCCTGATTATTTGCATACGCTACTCTAGTCGACATTCTTACTACGCACAGTCATGGTAAGAGCACAACATAACATGTAACACGTGGAGGTAATTCAGAGTCTTCGATTACAAATATTATTACATAAACATACCGCATCTAGATCTCTGGCCCGGTGTTGCAAAACACTTCTAGTCCATTTTTCGTGGAATAAAAAATACAAACTGTGAGCTATGTATCATCCCTAAGAATTATTGTGGCCAGAGTAGTAGCTTACGTAGGTGGAGGAAGTATAAGAATTCAAGGAAAGTAAGAAAATTGAAAGGGCAAGTAGCAACAGATCTTGGAACAGAGTATCAGGCAAGTGGAAAATGCGACAGCTAGCTACTTTAAGATGCGGTCAACACACAGAAGGTTCAAAAGTACCGTAAGAAGGGGTATCCATCACGAAGACAATCTCTCTGACATGATCTCCTCCAGCTTATACCTTTTTACAGTAGCATGGAATTTGACATATCCATCGAAAAAACTGACGTAGGCATCATAGGCCTCGGCACATGGTCTCAATAATTCGAGGACATTGTGATGCGCTTGCACAGTTTTCTCGATGAGTTCGCGCAGAGCATCCTCTTTAGTGAGAGCACGAGAGGCTGCCATAAGTGACAGGTAGTTTGTGGTGTTGCCTTTGATCACCTCCTTGTAGTATGACAATATATCACTGAATAAAGCCATGTCAGAGACGCCAACGGGAAATTGATGCGCTTACTTTGTGTGGTTTATGACTATGGTTACATCCGGCATACATTGAACGTATTCCCGAAGCGGGAGTGTGGAAGGGAAAATGCAGAGTCCGTATGCATCAGCCAAGCCTGATAGCAGTCTACAATACCAGGGGTACGAGGGAGCCTGCGGCGAGATCTGTCAACACGAAGGGTTAAAATTTAAGCTGCCTTTATTGCCAGTGGAGAAATACTATACCAGCATATCTTTAGTTTCATTGTCAAGCAAAATGGAAGACATGAAGTTGAGTGAGGATGCAACGATCAAATTTGACACCGGTGAGGAATAATAGCAAGGAGCCTCCCGTAGGAGCCCATCAAGTGCATTCAGGGCTGGATGCCCTTGTGGCTGGCAATTCACGAACCGCTCGTTGAAACGGTACACGTCTCCTAGATCGTCAGCCCTGTCCATCATGTCGTCGATGTAGGTGAGGACAGAGGTGAAGAGGCACATCCACATCTTGGTTGCATGGTCAGGGAGGTGGTTGTAAGTGTTGGACATTATAGCCACGCCAGCGGCCATGTGCGGGAGTATGAGGTCCATCAGATAGCCGCGGTTTATGGCCTCCTGGCAGCATTCTGAGTACCACGCTTCGTCAATTGAGACGTTCTTATATTGCAAGCCGCAACGCTGAAGAAATTCGGCGATGGACTGGCGGATGCTTGCTAGAACCTATATTTGATATGAAAATCAGGACATGGAAGGGTGTTACAGTAACATGGCCCCCTATCTTTTTCTCACCCTTTCACCCTGTCACACCATCACAACTATCACCTCTTCATGATTCACCACGATGCTTGATGCACACTTCTTGATCCCCGCCGACCCTGACCTTCTGTGACAGAAGCTAGACGCTTCCATTGAACCCTTGATCTTTCGCCTCATGGCCCGTACTTCTATTTCCTTTGATCTTCTCATGAACCCTGATCCCTGACCTCCAGGCTATATTGTTAAAATTAAGCTTAACCATGTCCAATAAGACACAACATGTTTTGTAAGTTTGCTTGTAGTCCACAGACCTACACAATTAAGCTTAATGGCTTCTGAGTCCCTTGGTGATTCTCAGGCTTCCAAGAAGTTCCAAGAATAGCACTACCACCGGAAAAATCACCAAATTGGGATATTCCAACAATCTCACTATTCCCACTTACCTCCCTGGCTCTACTGCTTCACCAGAGCTTTCCCCTTGCTCACTCATGTATATAAGTAGTATAATGGCATGTACATACATAAAATGATACAATAGACCGCTTTTTTCATTGTCTAAGAGCTTGTACAGTAGTCTACAGTGCTGACTACAATATGTGCATCCCAGGACTAAAACATATTCGCTTTTTTGCCCCTTTAGCAGGGGAGCTATTCTGACTGTATATATCATATATTAGAGTGTTAATGAATATATTGCACCGCTTGTTTGAGCCTCTAAAGTGTCCTACATCAGTAGATATGTTAAATTCATACAAACCTCTCAAAAACATAAACCAGTTCGCATTTTTTAGTGTTTAGGTATATAGACTGGTGAATATTATTTCTAACATCTATTCACTAGTATATACAATATATCAAGAGTATAGGTCAGTAGGATCAGCCCCTGGGGTTGTATGTATTTACATCCTCCTGGTGGTTCACCCCCTGAGAAAATTTTTCCTGCAGCTCCGGCCCTCCAGGATGGTATGTAGGCTGTTACTATGAACATATAGAATATATTCATCATATAGATATACCAGAACAATTCCAGGATCCTTGTCTACAATCCAAAGTCACTTCCTGCCTACAATGTACCATATTTTCGCAATGATCTTTTTGAGAACCTATAAACATACATTCAGCGGTACTGTTCTCTGGTGGCACTGACACAGCCTTCCATAATAGAACTGCCTTAATAAATGCAGACTCACCTGATACCCACAGTACCTACTCTTGAAGAAGAACAAGAAACAACTGTCTTCTTTCATTTAAGGTCTGACTATGACTAGCGTCCACACAGCCTCGTAACGTGACAACAGTCATCATATCTGGCACATAGGCATAGTCAAGCAAGGCCAGCACAAGTGTCAAACGTTGCAATCTGGTGATCGAGAGTATCCGAACACAAGACATTCGCAAGATATGTACACACATTCATTAAAGTAAAGCTGAGCGGGCCGTGTACCCCAACTTTTGTGAATGAAGTTCGCTTTGTGGATTGCGAGTATGACGGAACCCCCACTACACGGCGCGCACGGTGATCTGATCACTTATCAGTGTTGCTTGTGTGAGAAGGATGGTCCACTTACTACGTCACAAGATCCGCTTAGCAATCGACAAGGGTAGAGGATACCCAGGTATCCGCCTTGGTGAAACCGGTACGGTTTGGCTGCTAGCACCCGTGCGGGTACGGATTATCAGATACCCTTTCATTTCAGTGCTCAGGAGTTATCGGCCATTCGTGAGGTAGATTGTCTCCATAGCAAATAAACAGCAGCACCTGCTGGACCATAGTATTCGACTCCATATGAACGTCGCGAGAAGTTCGTGAATCGTGGTCTTGTCGGAGGTTCCGTATCTTGTTGCGCCATTCAACCACGGCGAATGAGGAGTAAGAACTGTAGGCTCTGGAGGTAACTGTTTGTCGGGGCCTCCTTGTATGGTCCCATCATAAACCATGACCTCCAGTCACTCGACTCGACTCGACAAAGTTTCTGGTTTACGGTTATCAGCCGTAACCGGAATCGGCACACCTGACATGCTTATATAAGCCACTTCAATGAATGACATACTATATATGTACCTGAGTTACATCAGTAGCGTAGTCAGCCAATAAAAATCGTTTATCATATCGGTTTCTAGGCTCGTGACCAGCCTGGCTTACCAATACCACGGACAAGTCGAGTGGCGAAGCCAGGCTGGTCGATCTCGGAGAAATTTGGCAGGAGGAGCGAGGAGTTTGAAATTTAGTAGGTGCCGGTCGTGCCGGCGGTACTCGATCGTATGTAGCACAACTTATGCGTCTACCATACGCTCGTTCAGACTATATGCTATGTTAAGTTTCAAACATGAGTTCCATACGACCTTTATCGCTCGCTGCTCGAGATGCGATTGAAGATCTCCCGACGGACTTTACGAGTGCGCTTTCAACGACACAACACCAGCAAGTTCTCGAGGCCTTCTCGCGACTCGATTTCATTTCCCAAGGATCACAACATCCGAAGTTGTTTCAACTCAGATGTCTCGTATTGTTACTTTCTGGAAGACACGTCGTACTTCGAGCTGCAACAGGCTCCGGCAAGACCCTCGCAATGATTCTCCCGTTACTTCTTTCTCCGGACAAGACAGCCACTCTGTCAAAAATGTGTCGAGGTTAAACGAGAGGAGTAGTTCGGGGGTGACGTCTTTCGATGACATATGAAAAATATGTTTAGCGGCCTCCATCTCAGTGTCAACCTCATCAATAACCATTGCGATAGCAAGGGGTCGTAAACTGACACGGAGGTGCTCGCTCGCTCGCTCGTCGGTGCCCAACACATTAAGAAATTGCACAAGTGCATTGCTCCGAAAAAAACCTTCCCTCCAAGTTGTCATGGAGGGTCTTTGCGAGATTGAGTGCAGCATGAGGTCCATGACCGTCATCCGCAATCCACGAAGTATCTTGAGGACAGCGAGAATTTTTCCTTCCTCGTCCAGGCTGGAAGGATTGACCATCCAAGCCAAATGTTCAGGCTGCATCATGGGTGGGTATAGTGCATGAAAAGGTATCATTTGATTGTCCTATTTAACATTTAGTACTGCTCCTAGATGCGCTATAATCAGTTAGAGGCATACGATGCTTTGTACGATGCGAATGAAGGAACTTTGTGTGGTCAGCGCTGTCCAAATACAATGACTACCCAAAGCGGCACAACCGGCATCTGCCAAATTTCAAACTCCTCGCTTCGCCTGCCAAATCACTCCGAGATCGACCAGTCTGACTACGTCAAACACTTAACAATATCAAAGACGTAGTCCAGACTGGTTACGAGTCTAATCGGTTTCAACATTTTGCTTCTTGCAAGATTTCTATCAAAAGCAGATCTAGACCTGACTGGAGCATTCCAAACCTAGACCAGAGCTCAGCGTTCCAGGGCACTCTAGATTATCTTTCAAATGTAATTCCACTGGCCATGGCGTCAAAGGTGGGCCTTTTGCATGATTTCTGTACTGAAGGTATGCTTACCAGTGATGTCGATTACAGAGTCCTCCACGGCCAGAAGTTTGAGCTTCCGGCATGAGTTTGCGTACCTTGGTCTGTCGGAGCCCGCCATGTCATTAATCAGAGCTTTGCCCATTATGAACCGCTCTTGGACATTCATGTATGCTTCGGAGACCCATAGAATTTTGCAGTACATAGCAAACGAGATATTGGGCATGCTCAGCGCTCGCTGCCTTTGTAGCTCACAGAGCGGGGAAACTGACATTTTACAACCTTTGTGAAGTAGACGTAGAAGAAATCGAGGTAAAGCCCGGTTCGCACCAGTCCAGCTGTGACAGCTATGGGGTCCACCACATCCTCCGTGAAGTATCTGTAGGACAAAACTGTTCGGCCAGGAACAGAATTCATTGCACGCGCACGTACCTATATATCCAGTTGGGGAGGTACAGAGCACGATAAAGACCCAGAGCGGCCAGAAAGTGCGTTGTGATTGTCCCAGCTTCGCCGGTACGCTGCAACATGAACAACTGAGGGAAAATGGCGACAGATTCGAGATATATGGAGAACGTCCAGAGAATTTCGGTGACCTCGAACTTGTATTAGATATAATACATGTAGTACTTGTGTAGTACACTGTACTATGCGCACGTCGTTGCAATGCCTGATTGTGAAGCGCATAGTCTTGGTACGAGAGATATTAATGAATCCCACATCCGGATTGTGTGGTCGTTTGAATCAGACACAATGTGTTTTCCATTCGGTGAGATTGCGACACACCGAACGGTGTCACTGTACCCTCAGAGAGAGGCACCCAATGCCTCGCCAGTTTCCATATCCCACACCTGGATTGCTCCGTCGTATGAACCGCATACAAAACATTTTCTATCTTGTGTGATTGCAACCGACATAACGCCGGCTTGCCCATGGTGTCTAAATTTTCCTCCAGAGACCACCGCACGATATGACCAGCAACAACCCGGGGAGTGCGAGGAAGCTTTACGGCGGATTTCCTGAATATCGTTGACTGCGTTGGAGAAAACGGCAGAGCGGACAAGTATAAATGCGGGATGTCGTGTAAATTCGTGCGAAAGTTCGAATAAAGCGCCGGGCATCTCTGGCATCTTCGCTGATAAGCATATACTCAGCATGATCCCCTGAACATCACCACACGTGATACTCTGTGGACCCAAAGAATGAGCTACAGTCACGCACCACAAGCCAATCTGCAACAGAGGAGAGGGAACGCGTTGTACTGCTTAGGCCCTTGGCTAGAGTCAGCACTTCCAACCAGAACGGGAAGAACTCTCCGTCGAAAAAGGCTTCGACTTGTGTCCCCCAGAATCGATACGAGTACGATAGCTCCACCAAGGAGTTCTTCGCTTGCGTTTCTAAATCAGGGACAGCATAATTGGGTAAGTAAGAGTTTTTCAAAGAGCAAATGTTGAAGCAAAGCCTATGAGCCGCAGCGAGGCAAAGGCAAGATTCTTCTGTACCAATGAACTTATCGCTTCATCTCTGCTCTGTGAGAAAGTCGTAGAAAAATGAGTGGAAGCGACGTATGAGAGTGTTAGGATCCGCAGTGCCAATGGCAAGCGAGCCCAGTGACCCCATAACCGCCTCAACTTTGTAACGGTCATCGTTATCTGGAAAATGCAGTCGCATGCCGTTCAAGGCAACCATGTTAAGCGGTTCCGGTGATGTAATGATTTGCCCCATCACATAGCAAAACATAGGGATCGCTTTCTCCTAATATGTGTTGGTACAAGAAACGTACTCCTTTTGCGGATGCTCCCGAGACCACGGAACGGAGAGGGCGTACCGGATCCCAGCCCACCGTGTTCATATTTTTAATATGCGCAGAGGCAAAACGAGCCCATTCAAACAGGCCATCGAATTTCTGCGCGAGCGTATTAAATTACGTGTCCTTCAAATCGGCGCTGACGTTGGCTAGCTTACTGAAGTTCCTGAGGTGGCATGTTTGGAAATTCCCGAAAGGGCAGATGCCTGCCATACCTCTGGCGGCATCCTTGATTCTTTCATTCACAACTGCCGGGTTGAGTGGTTCAGACTAGATGATGGACTTTAGGAGGCGTGGACCTACCTGGGGCATCCGCTGGGTATGAAATTCACAGGTGGAGGGCTTGGGGAACGCCCAATGGTTTAAGTGTCGTTGTGATTACCTTGCCCCAAAAAATGCGACAGAAACCAGAGCGTCGTTTGTGAGATCTAGTTTGCGAAGGTGGGAGAGAGGACGGCTGTAACAATATCATTACGACAATGTTCTATACTTCTTGCTTGGTTGCTCTCCCCCGTCTCCTGGGACAAATGAGGGACTGAGGGGTATCGTCATCGTTCATTAAGTAACTTTGAAAGGAAGGCTGAGTCTGAAAATATATTTGGGTGAGTTTAAGGATGGCACGTAGGACAGCCAGACGGCTGCATAGCGGTTCATGTAACAAACAGGCGCTTGTTCAAGGCGTCCATTATGTCAAAGGACGGAACTTCAAAGATCACAGAATGTGATCGAGGTAAATTGCAGTTATAGAAGTCCACGAGGGCACATGCATGCTCCGAAGATGTTCAAGCGTCCTTGAGCTCTTCACTCGTTGGTGTGATCGGCTAGCTACCAGCCTGCTCTTGCCGCCAGTGATGGGCGTCCATAACACTGCAACTGCCCACTACCCACTGCCTGCGGGCTGCCAGCCCACACAAGCAACCCAGAAATGATTGAAATCTCACTCGTCAAAAAAATGCGCGATGAACACCCCAAACGTACCGGTAGGACTGACAACATTCCAGCGGAGGACTTCCTTGGCAAGCGCCTCAGTGTAAGAACCGGGGAGGGAGTGGCGGCCGGTGAAGGAAGGAAGGCAAGCACGCACTGTAAGCAGCAAAAGTGATGGCGAGTTCGTATGAGTGAAGAAGACGGTTGGACTTACCTAAGAATCATCGTAGCTGCAAAATCTGTGGATGTGATGGGTAAGGATACGCTGCTTCAGTCCCATCTTAGTGCGATTTTTCAATTCCACCCAGTGCTGACATCTTTAACGGTTTGCGCCATACTGGCAGCGATATCCAAGTTATTGTCCGTGAGATCAAGGCGGAGTAACGAGTTTTGATTTAGGGTTTTGCCGTTCTACCTCCATTCGGTATCATCGACCCACCCGTCAGTACTTCAGTATCGAAATGAAACTGCCGTGCATCCAGACACCTGTTTAGCAGACAACCCTTGTCAACTCGTCATGAAGAAAAACTTAAAAACTCGTTTCAGCCTTCAAGCTTTCTTCGCCACACTTCTTCGTCCATTCACGTCAGATTCTCCTACTGACGTTCCTGGGCTTTTCGGTTTGGTGGAGAGCCGCACCGATTTGGCAGCATGGCAGATACTGCTCATGTCTACTCATCTTTCCCTACAATGTAGGCTCAAACGGGCCACGTATTGCAAATGCAACCGTTACAAACAGCACGAGTTTTTACTCTTGCATTTTCGTCATTGGAATTCTGAGTCCGCAGTTGCTACCGTGGTCATAGAACGCGTTCCTAAGCAGGACCCGGGCGACAATTCCTCGTCAAAACTCATTCATACGTCCAATTTAATTTCCCCTTCAGCTTCTGAAACTATTGCCCATGATGTTGTATGTACTTTTAGCCAGGGTTCGACATTTCTGCGGTACTTTGCGGACGCCTACACTCCGTTTACCCAACTTCATACGCTTGACTTCCCTCCTCTGGCATGTCCGTCGGCGGCACAGATATCAATCCTCTTGTCTGTGGTGAATGAACAAGCCCCGAACTACCATCTTCACCAGAACCAACGTTACTGGTTTTCATTCACCGTGTGGGAGACTTTGAAAAAGCTCTTCCCTGATTCCATTGAAATGCACAACACTCCCATTGACCAGCGCTCTCACTACTGTGGGCTTGCTATCCAGAAGGCTGATAGTGTGGAAGCTGTGTGCAGAGATTACGGTGTGAGATGGAGGAATATAGAGAATAAAGAGGAACTAAAGAGAAAGGCAGATGAAGCTAAAGAGCGACAGGTAGTAGTAACTCTTCTGTCACCACCCTCACTTGATGGTGATACGTCATTGTTTTTCAGCTCTACACGTCCGGTATGGAGCAAGGTCTCGCACAAGGTCTCGCACTTGCACAAGGTCTCGAACAAGGCCAAGCGGAACTAGACCGAATGCAAACAGAAATTAATGAATTGCAAGCAGCGCTCAGCGAAAGTACTAGATATGTAGGTACCCGTTGAACTTGAAACACTACTTTACTGAACATTCAAAGTCTGCAGAACAAAAGAGCCGCACATAGACTTTGGGCGCGGACATTGGTGTGCGTCGAATGGAGAAAATATTGCAGCAGCAACGGCTCCGGACATGATTGTATATTGCGAGGTCATTTGGCTTCGGTCGCACACAGCAGCATTTGCCGTGATTTTTCTTTCTTTCAGTCACTCTAGACAAAACCAAGCAAGGTGTTCCACTTACTAAACCACGACACGCTGGACCGCCCATATTGACCAGCGGTTGTTTTATGAATGTGGTGCCTATTGTCAACCAATGAGAATATTCGCTCCAACAGGGCGTGAGCCTAAATGCAGTAGCCGCAGCCCTATGTCCACTGCACAGCAGCCTCGAGTCTGCTATATAGGAAATTTAGATACCACTGGTGTGTTCTAGTCTGCCGTAGTCAGACTTTGACAGAAGACAGTCGTGGTGTGTGTTCACAAGTCGCAGGCTGTCGCGGTTGCAAGGGGTTAGGTTTAACCGTTTGGTTGAACATGCGTGGTTGCCACAAATGGGGTTTTCCGACAAAGCAAGTTGATGTGACTGCAGCACTTCCAACAAATACGAAATATTCTCTTCTTCAACAACAGCAACGGAGACGAACACGTTTAAACCACTCCGGGCGCAGTGGCTGCTCGTCACTACGCGACGAATTCTGTATGAACACGAGAAATCAGAACCGGGCCATAGGTGGGTCTGCTAAGTGGCTTCATGATCGCGCATGTTCATGTTCATGTATCTTCTTGCATTTGCACTCGATGCGTACAGAATCCTCAGAGAACTGGGATGATGATTTCGAATTCCAGCAGAGTAACGAGCCGAACACCCTCAGCAAACATCAGGCGCCTCCAGAGCCCAGATTGTCTGTCGCAAGTTCTGCCTTTACTGAAGATTGGGACACCGAAGGAACCCAGCAGAACATCAAATATTCGTCATCCGCGGTGTTGGGAGACAGAAAGAACTATCCTGCGCCTGCGCTTGAAGAATGGGCGGAGCCAGGCCCATCAACCCCCACAAGACGCTCTACAACCCAAACGGAGAACTGGGATGACGACTTCGAGGACAGGACCGATTTCCCTGCCAAACGGCACCCCCACGCCTACACTCTAAAAACACGCCACTCATATCATACTCCTCCTCGCCTCAAATCCGCGTCTGACCCCGAGAATTGGGATGACGATTTTGAAACAGACAAAGCCGATACGACCCCAATGACAAAACGGACGCGTCAGGAGGCGTATCCAGACTCATCGGACGATGAGGCTGAGCTTGGGTTCACGGATAAGGATGACGACAGAACTGTAACGGCTCGCAGCCGGTCGCAGCTCGTGCTCAGGCAGTCCCCCCCGCCTCCTGTGCCTCCACTCCCCCTGTCATTCCTTACACCTGTAGAACCATTTCCACGCTCTCCGACCGTGTCTGTGTTCTCAATACCGACTACAAGCGGACGTAACTCAGTAGGATATACGTCCACGTCCCATCTGGCACTGAGGCCAAGCGTCTCGGGTGGCTCACTTGCTATGCTACCACCCAGTCCTCCAATACACCGCGAGCGACGTAGACTACGGAAAAAGTCACGTCCTCCGCACATAGAGAACAATGTATTCGAATTAATTGAAGAGCAACGTGACTCATCTCCAACACTCCCACCATCAACTCCCGAGCGACCATCTACTTCGCCCCTCCCTCAATCCGACACAGGTTCAACGGGCCCACAGAAAACGCCTCTCCTTTCGCGCATCGGATCAGTCAAGAAGTGGGGTGTGCGGAAGAAGCGAGCCAGCACGGGGCCTGCAGAGGTAATGATGCATGAGCTGAGGCACGAAGACCAAGAGTACACGCCACGCCCGACTAGCTCGCTTGCGTCTGTCCCTAGCCCTAGCACGCGACCGAGCTGGTTTTTTCGCTCTGGCGGCCCCCCTGGGTCTGGGTCCCCGCCGCCCCCACACGCCGCTGAACTTAAGCACGAGAAGAGCATGAGCGACGTGCACTCGTCCGTGCTGTCAACGCCCCACAAGCTCTCGAAGCGCAAGTCGAGCAAGATTTTTGATCCAAACAGCAGCAACGAAGTCATGGGGACGCCCGTGAAGCCGTCGCTTCTCTCCGCGGCCAGGAGACCCACGTCCATGCAAGTCCCTCAGGGGAAGGTTATCTCAGCCTCTACAGGGACGCGGCACACTTCATACGGTTCATCGATGGGTCGTGCGGCATCTAAGACGTTTAGCCATCCCGATGAGAGCGTGGAAGATCTACAACCTCGGGAGGGTAATCGGGGCTTTATGGGTGGCATGCGGAAAATTAGTCTTGTCAGCGGCAAGAAGCACAAAAGGAAGAAGAGTGCTATCGAGGTCACGCCCCTCCCATCAGTCCCTATGAGCCCACCACCTCTACTCCCAGACGAGCCCGAGCATCCGGATCAATTACTTCCTCCGATAGAGCTACAACCACCATCGCCACCCAGGACACTCAACGGGGTGACCGCGTCGCACTCTGCGCCAATTAATATCAGCCAGGGTATCGAGTCGTTATTTGTGCCTTCGAGCAGCGCTCCTGCATCACTATCTCCAAAGACCAGCCCCGTGTCTGCAAGCCGTACCTCCCCTGGCAAAGCATCATCCCCTCAATCCGCATCATTAGGACGGACTACGCAAGTTCCCCCTCCATCATTATCTAGTGCCTCTGTTCCTCGGAGAAACTCACTTGGCGACCTCAAGATTCCAGCAAGAATTAGTCAAGCTCAGATCAGCCTTAAACGTGACCTCGGAATGGTGAGAGAATTTGCAGCAAGCGTTGATAGTATGTACCATTGCAGTTTCAACACATGCCGTGACTGACTATTTCCTCAGAACTTAAAGAGCTGCAAGCAATTCATCATCACCTTGTCGCTGAGGTACACACCGTCCTAGAGAGTTCTCCTCTATCCCGAGCGGCTTCACCCCCCATGAATCATCTTACCCGTCCCCGTTCTCGACTGCGCTCCAACACCGAGCCCAAGTCCAACTTTTCAGATCACAAGCACTTAGCAGCAACGCTGAATGCAATCACGACAAAGTACAAGTTACCGTGGGAATGTGCTGAGCTACTGATCGAGCTCGGCGGAGGCACGCCTTCTCCTGCTTCCCCTCCGTCTTCCAGTACCTCTGCACCAGCTGCACAGGCTGATATAGATCTCCGGAAGAGCCGGGAGCGTGCGGTGACTCTGTCAGGCGATGAATCGAAGCTGCCCTCCGGATTCGTCGCGTCGCCTGGGACGGGACAGTCCAATCTGTCATGGCGATCGACATCAGGGCGTCACGACCTCACCCAGCGCCAGCTCGTTCTCTTACGCGACATCCTTAACAGTACAGATGGTGCGCTTCCTGACGATGCGTTGATCTTAGAGGAAACGCATGTCAATCGACAATGGCGATGGGGAGATGCGATGAGCAGCACGGTTACGCTTCCCTCTGAAGAGTCGATGCATACTTCGCAAGATGGAAAGAAAAGACGACATAGCCGAATGGGCATGAGTGGACTAAGAGATATGCTGCGGTCATTGAAGCGGAGCCATTCAGGCCATCCACCTCCCCCGCTGCCTGCGTCCACCACGTCTCTAAGCACCCAGTCATCCATGGGCTCTCAGAGCCAGCATCACTATCCGCATGCGCATCTGCCTCAATCGCAGCCCCAGCGACGCTCCAAGACGAGCGCGGGACCAGAGTCAATGCGCTACACTCGGGATGTGCCGAATTCGCCGTACAATGGCCAGTCTTTAAAACACAAGGCATCGCCACGCCGACCCTCACTAGCGTCTATCTTCCGCCTGGGGCAGAAGAACAAGAACGCGTCGTCTGGTGCGACGTCTTCGCTGGATAGCACCCATAGTTCGCGGTGTGCAAGCCGAGGGAGTGCTACGACCGAGGAGGAAGATTGGGACCAGATTGATTCTGTCACGGATCTTGATGGAGCGGCGAGAGCACTGGGGATCGAAGGGTCTTCTACGATCAAGGGCAAGAAGGGACTTTCGCCTTACCTTGATCATCCTCGTGACATGCGTCCAATGACACCCAACCGAGTAGCGTGTTCCTCTCAGACGTCATTGAAGCGCGAGCCGTCCCCTCGCGCTATAAGGCCAATGCGGTCTACGAGACTGTCGAACGTGGAGGAAGTGGTTGATGATCGACAAGCACGCTCGAATTCGAGGGCTCAGCACCGTGTTTCTTTACCGAGAACGAGCCCTTCGCGACCGCCGTCTCGGAACTACAAGCTTGCGATGTCGGGTTCTGTGCGCTCTGCGCCTCCGCCGCAGCCGGACGGGGGTGACGCTTCGGCTTCGCTGTTCTCTGAGTTCAAACTGGCGATGACGCCGGAGAATATCAAGCCGCTGCTAGACAACGCGAAGGAGGTGCATCTGCGGTTGAATGAGTGTATCAGGGAAGTACGTGCGCTGCTGGACGTTTCTGCGAACCACTTGCCGCCGTCGTAGTACTAGTTGATTCATCGCACTTTAGTTTGGACATTGTCATCATCAGCATCATCATCATCGCATCATTATCGCACCGCACTGCATGGATGGTTATATCTCGCGTGTTGTTGTTTTCTTTTTCTTTTCTTTTCCTTGATTTTTTTTTGTGCTTGAAGCCTTGGTAATTGACACTACGTTGATATTTATGACACACGTACGTAACCCCCTCACAGCTGTTCACGAACATACTTACATTACATGTGCGATACGAAACAACTTGAACTTGACACCGCTGACCGAAGCCATGTCAAGGAACAATAGTAGTACTGTCTTCATTCGTGCATGATCTAGTGATAGATTAACTGCTGGTAGGAAAACATAAATGCTGTGAGTAAGCTACGGAGTCCCATGGTAAGAGTCCTGAATTTCTACTTAGTTCCAATCACAGTCCAAGAGCCTCCCCGACAGTCAACCAGTGGTGCCCCTCCCATAAGGAGTTATCCCTACTAGCCGATTCCGGGTCGTCCGACTCCGTCACAGGGTTCCACCCACAACTTCCTCCCCCAACCCCAATATGCTTCTGGAAGAACGTCCTGAAATGCGCGTTGACGACACCTTCGGTAGGAAGAGCATCGCAATACACAACAGGTGCAGTAGCTCCATACAATGCGCCGATCTCCGAGAGCGTTGCGCGTTGTCCCTCTATTTGTATTTCGGCGTCAAGTAGACGGGAGGGAGGTTGAGTGGTGAGGATGTGAGCTACGTAGCCTGCGACGTCTGATACTGCTGTGAAGGACCCTTTTGTTTCTCCCTTGTTTACGATGTGGAACTTGCCTGTGTCGGCGAGCGCTGTGGGCCAGGGTACGAATTCGTAGAATAATCCATTCTGTAGTGGTCGTGTTTAGTGCTTGTTAGAACGATATTGGAAAGTGGTTACTCACGAAGACGCGGAGAGTTGGGAGTCCGATTGATTTTGCATAAGCTGTGAACGGAGGGGGTAAGTCGACGCCACGACGCGCTACGATTATCACTTGCCTGCAAAGTCAGTCTTTTGGAAAGCCAAACCGCCTTTGGCCAATTGGGGTTTAATACCGAACTCGCTGGGGACAAAGAGCTTCACGCCTGCTTCCTTTGCAGCGTCTGCGAGAATGTTCTGGCCGACCACACCTCCGAAAACGAGTGTGACGGTTGAGATGAGGACGTCTACATTGTGCTCGCGGAGGACTGTGGAGATCTCGGATATGGATGTGTAGTCTGCGCGTACGAGTTTTAGGTTGGGGTCGTCGGTGGGGAGGGCAGCGATGTTCGTGGATGTTGGGCGAGCGATGACGAGGAGTGGTTTGCCGATGGCGAGGAAGGCCTAATAGAGATTGTCAAGGACGAGAAGTGCAAGAATATTGTGATGAGAGTTACCTTGACGATATGGATGCCGGTGTTGGGGCCCGCGCCGATGATAGCAAAAGACTTGAAGAGTTGTTCAGACATGTTGTTCTTGTAAGAGGGTTTGTTGGTTTAGACTGCTCTTTGTCGACGAACATAGGAGGTTTTATACTGTACCTCCTGTACTGTCGATGGCTGTGATGATGAATACTGCTCTCTTGATGTGAGATGGTACCTGGGAGACCAGGGAGACCAGGGGATGGCTCCTAAGAGTTACTACGGAGGCTGACGAAGTGATGCCGCGCCTCACGGTATGTTCACTTCAATTGACATGTTCGCGACATTAGAACATACGAGACTGGATCCGTGATGTGGAGAACGCGTCGCGACTCGCGAGACACTTGCAAGACGAGGCATTTTCATGACAAGCCCGTTAATGTTGGAAGCCACGCTCGCAATTACGCTTCGTATGCAAAAGTTTAGCCAAACTTGACTCGATATTGTAGGGACTTGCTTACCGTCCTGGCCAAGTGCTGGATGTACAGTACGACGAGGACTCGATGCTAATTTTAACTTTTCTGAGTAAGCAGCTTGACTCAGCAATCGACGCGCAAGGATCGCACATATTGGCAGTGCAGTCGGTTGTGCAGAGACCTGCATCACTCTGCGTAATCACTTTGCTTTCCTTGCACCAAGACAAGTTTAATATCTCCAGATGGGTATACCCAACGCGAACGCAGCGCATCATCAACTCATTGTCACAACTCAAAGGCAGTACTCAATTGACAAGTGGATACACATCTGTGATGGGGACCATCCCCGGTCGTGCGAGCCTCGACATCCTCGGCTTTGGTCTCACCGCCCTCCCAGGTCTTCCGTGTTCCAGTGCTCCAGTCTGCTCCCGTTCACTACTGAGCTTCAGAGTCTGAAGAATCAAACACTGATTATAGCAGGTAATTTTTGAGGGTCAGCCTGGTCTCAACACATTACTTTTCTGCCCTTTCCCTGTCTCCGCTCATATTGTCTTGCTGCTTTTATTCACTGGCCAATAACAACTGTTCTGTACTTGTTGGCGTTGAACGTTAAACTTCCGACTGTTTCATCGATCGTGATTTGCAGTCTTGGTTGAAACCTCCACGATTCTGAATCCCTAGCCAGACTATAGACCGAAACAATACAGTATGTCCTTCTAATCTCTCTACCAGCTTACACTAATCGGTAGTTTTTGGAGGGTTATCCACGCATATCACATTTCGAATCCGACCATTGAGCTTGGACGCAGTGCTCGGTCCGCCAGGCTCATTTCTAATGTCAACTCTCCCCTCCGTCTCGTTTGAAATACCCAGGAGTTATTTAACACCCCAAGTACAAGAAATGCAGACGACCTCAGACTCAATCGCTACTCACCTTCCGAGCATTCTCCTGTGCTCAAGGGCCCTCAATAACTTGTCGCGCTATGGATTGCGACAGCCCCTGCGATCCACATGGGGACCTCTTGCCCAAGGCTCTCATCCGATCTGATATCTGGTTCGCAGACGGCAATATCGTCCTCATCGCCGACTCTGCCGCCTTCAAAGTACACCACGGTCAACTCGAAAGGCACTCAGAGGTCTTCCGTGACTTGTTTTCCGTCCCCCAGCCCGTTGACCAGAACCTCGTCGACGGCTGTCCCTCTGTCGAGCTGTACGATCGTCCGTCAGATCTATACCACCTGCTCATTGCGTTGTATGATGGAATGTGAGTATCTAGCACTATTCGAGATTCAGAATAAATGCTCACAGCGTTACGCATAGTTACTTCCAGAAGCACACTGCAGCAGACTTTGTCGCCATCTCCGCCGTACTCCGACTCTCCACAAAATACTTCATCGAGCACCTACGCGAACGCTGCATCGCCCGTCTCGCGATAGACTGGCCCACATCACTTCCTGAATGGGATCGCAGGGAGCACGACGGGACAGACACCGACGGCCGCTATAACCCCCGCGAGATATTCCCCCACCCCATCCTAATGCTCAAACTCGCCTACGAGCTCAACCTCGACACCTTCCTCCCTGGTGCGTTCTACGACCTTTCGCGTTACGGCCCCAGCAAGATCCTCTCCGGCACCCGCGGTCCCGCGCCAATGTTCTACACCGAAGGCTCCCCCGAAGGCCAGCTCATCCGCCTCTCAGACGATCACATATGCACGACGTTCCTAGGCCGCGAAGCCGCACAGCTATACATACACACCTTCCTCGAATCTGCCCTCCGCGACCGTCCGTCCACCAACTGCACAAACGTGGGGAAGCTGAGCGCCGTGCACTGTGTTGAGTCGTTCTACTTCATACACCTCAACGTTCTGCGTTCTGTCGGTGGGATTGCGTGCGGACGAGATGCGGATCCGCTGCATACGCTTTCACAAGCTGCGGAGATGTTGGAGAGGACAGATTTTTCAGATGGGGTGAAGACGTGTGGGTTGAGAATGTGTTCGGTGTGCAAGGCTGAGTTTACGAATGCTGTTAGGAAGGCTAGGATGGAGGTGTGGGATTTGATTCCGGAATGGTTTGGGCTTAGGGAGCCGAGATCTGTGGAGGATATGAACTAGATTTTTTTTACATATAATATGGTATTATGGTGGAATGCGCAGTTATCAGAGATCTCAACACGCCGTACAGGCACGAAAAGCGATGAATTATGATAGATACAGGATGAGTGATATACATTGAGAGTACGTTTATTCCTCGCCGATTTTTGGTGCGAGGTAGTACTTGATCTCGCCTTGTCCGAACTTGTAAGACACCTAACCGCAGCACCGTTAACAAGAGTCGAACAACAGTAAGAACCAAACGTACAAGAAGTGGCACGTCGTTGCTCATCATGAGCTGTACCGTGTTTGATAGTGCTGAGCTCTTTGAGAAGTTGACGAGGTATTTCAAGCTGAACGTCAACGACACGTGTTGATTCATCTCAATGAGCACCCCTCCATCTGTTGGAGTCTCGTCCGACTTCTTCACTTTCTTGGCGGGCTTGCCGTTGGTCTGGAACGTTGGTTAATGAGTGGAATACAAATTGGAGCGATGACGACCCACCTTTGCGGGTGCTTTCTTGCGTTTCTTGCTACTCTTCTCATTTTCCTCCTCGTCCTGCTCTTCCTCGCCTTCATCATCCGACTTGGCTTTGAACTCTTCCTCGTCCTCATCCTCTTCCTCGCCCTCCATCTCGACGTCACCATCTTCCTTCTTCACTTTCTTTTCTTTCTTGACCTTCTTCTTACTGCTACTCCCTTCTTCTTCATCGTCGTCATCTTCCTCCTTGGGCTCTTCGTCATCCTTGCCATAGTTGGCATACTTCTCCCGGGCAGCCTCCGTTTGCTTCAACAGTACGCTACCGTTCGCAGCCTCGCCTTCACTTGCAAAACGGACACCTTCCTTCGAAACTTCGATCCGCACGGACTCGCCCAGTTGTGACAAATCTCGGACAATCCTCGTAAATTCCGACGCGGTCATCGTAACTCGTGCATCGTACTCTGTATCTGGAATCCCAAGCGTCTCGGCGTCGATATCCATGAGTTTCATATCATACTCCGCAATTCGGTCAGAACCTTGACGTTACGAGGCTCGTTTATGAATATCTGCGTTTTTTTTGGAATATCATTAATGGGACTCACTTCTTGCTTCGTAGACGAGGTTCAGAATGTCTGCGTCATCGGAGGCCTTGATGATACAGATATCGTCATCTTTGGCGCATTTGAGGACTTTGGTGAGGGAGTTGAGGTTGACACCTAGAGGCATGGGGCGGTCACAGCGATACTTTTTGAAACCTGTTGCTTCAAGCTTGACGGCTACGAGGGCTACATGGGAGTTATCCATAGCTTGAAGATGCTAAAAGCCATCATCATAACAAAACAACTTTTAATAGAAGAAGAACCTACGATTCCTTCCTCATTGCACTCAAAGTTAGCATCTGTCACCAACTCTTTAATAGCTACGACGTTTTTGGTCAATGAGTCGCGCCATGGGTATCGGAGAGAATGGGGCTTACAGTCTAAGAGGCGCTTGAGGAGTGCTGCTTCTTGGAGTCTTGCTTCTAGCATGGTGAGCGCAAGAGAAAGAGAACGAAGAGAAAGGGAGGGAGATTAGACGCGTCTAGGTCGCGTTGAATGGACCATTTCAAGCGGAGACGGACGAGTCCATGGACCGCGTCTTTACGCGTCATGTCACATTTAGTCACGCATGGAGGACTGTCACACCACGCCGACCGGCACAGAAACTAGAGAAAGTTCGAGTCGAGCCGAGTCGAAGCGTTTTGTCACCCGACAATCACCTACTCCGCCTTGAGCCTAGGCATTTGGAGTTTACACATAAGTAAACCTCATTTGTTCTCGCTAAATTCGAATCCAGACTGCCCACTTGTTGGTCCACTTCGGCCGTTCAAAACAAACATATGCTGTGGTAGCGTGGCTGATCTTTGGCTTTTTTGTCCCCCGACAAAAGCGTCTTCTTCATATAACGGCTGGATACCGTCTCCGCCACCTCTAAACTTCTCTTTCTTATTTCCTCTACTCGTCGACTCTCGAGCGTCATTAATATTATGGCTGCTCAACAAGCAAATCTCACAGACCGTAGCAAACTTCGCATGGAGCGGCTCAGGCAGGAAGAGCTGGAACAGCAGCGCTGGGAACAAGAAGCACTTGTAATGCCTGAGGTGCGTAGCTGTGTATATTTCACTCAGCGGCGCACAGAAGCTTAAAGTCCACAAAGGCGCTCAATCAAGCTCTCCTAATGTCATTTGCATCAGTTAAGACTGAGTTCAGTGACCTTGACGGACTCTCGTGGTCACGATACCCTGTCCCTATTGTTCCTAACCCATGGGTACGTTGCTATCCGGCTCTCCTTTGTTCCGTCTAACATCAACCTTCCATTCAGGCAATAGACGAACCAACCCCCACTCCAACACCGGATTATCCCGAGCTCAGCGAATTCCCTGATGAGCCCGAATACTCTCAGCGGTCACAAACACCCTCGCCTTATACTATATCATCTCTCGCTGGGCTGACCTCTTTCGCACCTGGGGAAACCATTCGAGTATCCCGAGCCACAAATAAAACACCCCGGTCTCCCCTACTACCCGCAAACCAATCCACTGGCATGCAACCCCCGGATCCGAACATTTCAAGATGCTCCGAACACCCAAGACTATCATCTTCACCGCCCACAATCTACCACATGTCACCTAGTTCACCAAGCGATGCTCGCTATGCGCTCCGCAAACTACCCTCATTTGACACATCTATGCAATCCCGGATCTCCATTCCTTCAAACCACCGTAAATCTAATTCACAACAAGTTACATAGTATGACCCTTCATGAATCATGTTGTCTCGTCTTTTTAAACGTTAACGAAAGTGCTTTTGTATCAATACTTGTTGTATCTGTAAACTTAGAGGTTTGAATTGGACCGCTTGCTTGGATGTTATTCCATCGTTTTGTGGGGGATGCTGAATGGAGAAGGAGAATTCGAAGGTCGGATTGACGTTATGTTTGAACGAATTAATTTCTCTTTACCGATGGCATATGATGGTACATAGGTCATTCTGATCAGCGCATCATATCAGCGCAACCCTGAAACGCCATGCGCGGACATTGGATGTCATGCACTGGCAGTTGGTCTGGAGCTTCGGGGAGATTCGGAACGTTCACCGCTGCACTGCCCCTAGACTCAGAGGACAAGGCCTGCTGCTGATGCAGTTCAAAGTTGCTGTGGCGAGGTTCCTGTGCAGCATTATAAGTACACCACAGTTGCAGAATAACCTCGTAGCTTTCGAATCAGATTGCTGGTTTTGAAACAGTCGCAAGATAGTACTATCACTTGCTGCTTATTTATCCGAATCAAAAAAAGTTCCTAATATATACAGAACACACTCGTACGTATAGTACAGGAGCATAGTATGGCAGATGGTTTTCAGTCGTGCAAATCCTCATCGGATGTCAGTACGACATATTTCTAGAACACACGAGTATAACAGGATAGCTGGTCGAGAACGAGGAGACCCCCTCGGGGTGATCACATGTGAAACATCTCCAGGTAAGTGTACATCTGCAACGTGTCTCAGCTGACAATCAAAACAATGGACAACCGAGTCCAAACGCGTCGGCAAGCCAGGTGCTTATCCAATGATGCACGAATCGTTGGCCTTGATGCCAACCCTGTCCATCAACAAATGATTCCTCGTCCTCAAATCCTCAACTTCCTCTTGTAGAGCCCTCGATTTTTCTCTTTCCTCCCTCCGGAGCTGAATAAGGACGGGCAAGATATCCCTGACGCACTTCCAAGGATGGAAACGTCTTCCTATCTCCACCCGCACGTCATCATCGAGCACACGACATGAACGGGAACCAAACGATGTCCAGGTTACGCCAACCTCGAGTTTGCATCCAGGTGGACACAGGTGGCTCATGAACACAGCGATGGATTCCGGATCGTGTGCTCGCGACGTTCCGACAGACAAGACAGAGAGGGCTACAAAGGGCTTCAATTCTAGTGTGGGAGGGATCTTTGCAGGAGTGGCGTCAATGAAAAGACCTAGCCGGCGCAGCTTAGGGCAGTGGCGGGCAAAGGGGACGAGAGCTCGCAAGTCAAGTGTAAATTCATGCATGACAAGCGGTTCCTCATTCAAAGTCAGATTCTCGAGGGACGGCCACCGGGATGCAAGCTCCTCAATCTCCTCCAGAGTAATGTTAACCGGGTATTTGTGCGTGACCTGGAATGTAACGAGATTTGGGAATGAAAGTAGTGGTCTAAGGGTGTTGAACGTGATTTGGTTTGCGGGGACGAGCTCCAGTTGTCCAGTGACGTGGTGCGCTAGTAAGATGTACAGTTGGGAGAGACGGCGGCATCTGTCTGAGAGCGTGGCTAGCAACGTGTGTAGTTCCTCGGGTTTGTGTTCAACGTAGGTGTTGATGTATATGGATGTGAGATTGATGGGCGCAAAGTCCGCATTCATGAATTGCACGACATCCCCAATGCGAGCAGTAACGGCTAGGTCCCACAGCGCGGGAAATGCTCCTTGCTCAAGGACTGGCGCAAAAGAATCCACATCTTTTTCTTCACCGAACCCTTGTTCATACCCATACTCGAATTGCACAATATTGATGTGTTTCATCCGCGAGAGCTCAGAGACGATGGTCGACGTGAGGAAAAATTCGGGGAAAATGACCTTTTTCAGATCTGGAAGACCTCGAAGAAGCTCCAAAAGGGCTGTCTCCATGTATTGCGCGCGGTAGGGAACGCGGAGGTCAAGCGACTGGAGGTGTGGCGCGCGGACGCATACGTCGACAGAAAATGCAACTTTATCTTTGTGTCGGAGAGGAGGGGCAGATATAATGAGGTGCCTCAGGCGCTGATGCATGAATAATGTGGCTCGTTCCATGCAGTCGACATCTTCGTAGACCCACTCCAGAGTATGCAGATTCGGAAGCATCTCGAGCATTGTCCTCGTCCTGGCCATATCATCGAGCAGACCAGAAAAGTCCACTTCCCTGTCCTGCTGGTATCGCAGAATGCGCACACGATTGGCATACTTCCGAAATCTCGCCCAGTCTCTTGAATCTGGCAGTCCATCGAAGAACTAGAATATATCGAACCAAACACAAGATGAACAAGGGAGCAGCAACAGAACAACGTGACGCACATGGTATCTTCCCTTTGTCTTGTATGGCCTCAAGAGAGTAAGAAGCCGGGAGAGATTGTTCACCTCCCTCCAAATGATGTCCAGAGCAATCTCTGACCATTGCTTGCAAACGCACGCGTTGATTACATGGTCATCTTCGTCGGTAAAGCTGAGAATGATGTCCAACAACTCCGGAATGAACAGCACCCTATGGGGCCGCGTGACCGACATCAAGGACACTTGGAAGGATACTACTGTGATTTTTATATCATTCGATGATTTCGATCTTGTAAGTGTTGGGACTTGAAGTTGCCGGTGGGAGACAAGGCACGTATTGATCTTCGGTCTCGGCAAGTCCCGCAGTGCTTTTGATTCCTGATTGTCACTAGTACTGTCAGTGACATCTGATGCTAGATACAGACCTACACATACACAGATGACAGACGTCCCCGCTGTCTCTACTTTTTCGGCGTCGGGAGAGGATGCGATAACCCGCACCATAGAGTTGAATATAGACTCATCTACACAAGACATAGCCCAGTCCGACTTCCTCGAAATTTACGAGATCGAACGAACAGTAACTGCGATCGTAGAAGGGGACTTCAAACGAGTGAGATAGATCCATCTTGCTTTGCACAGGCTGATGATAGCTCATACTAGTATAGACAGCTCTCCAATTTCCTGACGAACTTTTGCGTCATTCTGTCCCAATCTACCGTTTACTCAAGAGTAAGGCAGGCGAGGGTCATGATATTTACGTCTTAGCCGACACTTCCTACGGAAGGTTAGTCACTGCTCGATGTAAAAGGCATCTTCTGACCGACAACTTCAGCTGCTGTGTTGACGAGGTTGCGGCACAACACGTCGATGCAGATCTAATCGTGCATTACGGCCACGCATGTTTAAGCCAGTGCGTACCCGAGACCTCGCCATGTTGAATATTTGTGACGTTCTCCTATAGACCTTCTAGGCTTCCCGTGATTTATGTCTTTGGAAAGAAGCCTATTGATGTTGATGATTGCATCAACCAACTCGGCAATTGCTTAACCACTCGATTACAGGAAGATACAAACAGTGATAGCGGTAATCGACCAGATATTTTACTTCGCTATGATGTAGGATATTCCTACTGTGCAGGTGATTCAAGTTTCTTCTTGGATGCTGCTTCCAACGTAAGCTTACCAGTTACGCAGACGTAATCACCCATCGACTGGGGAGTGAACTGCAGTCCCTAACTATTAGGGTCTTGCACGACCCACTTCCAACTAGGCTTGATCCTAAGACCACCGTGCATAGTCCCAAAACCTTCGAGCCGGCTGTTGCCAAAGCCGATGAAGATATCTGCACGAATGTCGTGATCGCATATATCGGTGGCGAAAGCCTCAACCTTACGAATTTATTGATGACGCACTCTCATTGCGAGGTAAATCACTATGATTATTATTTAATATCAATATCTTATGAATTTTTAGGTGTATGCATACGATCCCTCTACAAGATCCGCTCACTTGCAATCACATAGGACTAATAAGTTGTTAATGCGGCGTTTCGCGATGGTCCAGAGAGCACGAGACGCAGATGTTTTTGGCATCCTCGTGGGCACGCTAGGAGTTAGTCAGTGATTTTATCACTCGTCATCTTTATGGTTATTAACAGTTATCTCAAGCATCATATCTACCCCTCATAGCCCACGTCAGAAAGCTCCTAGCTCGTGCACAGAAGAAGAGCTATACGATCAGTGTCGGCAAGCTAAATCCTGCGAAACTCGCGAATTTCATGGAGATCGAGTGTTTCATATTGATAGCATGTCCTGAAAATAGTGTGATAGATGCCAAGGTTGGTCTGTCTCGTCGAAGTCAAGTGAAATGCTCACTACGTGATGCGCAGGAGTTTTTAAGACCAATCGTTACCCCTTTTGAACTCGAGGTCGCGCTTCAAGCTGAAGGCACTTGGAGTGGACGATACGTGCTAGATTTTGAGAAACTCCTCGCCGGAGACTCTGAAAATGACATTGGTACGCTTCCAACAGTATTGCGGTTCGACTCTCCATACATGGCATTTAGGTATCGTTGCTGAAGGCAATGAGAGCGATCCAGATCAACCGACCTTCTCCTTGATTACTGGAAAGTACCGACAAGCAAGACGCTATGGCAGTAAGCACGATCTTGACTTAATTAACCTCGTCTTACATCCCAAAGCGCAAGACAATGAGACGTCAACCGAGGGAACGTCAGCTGCTCTTACTCTTCGGAACCAAGACGGGGCTATCTCGAAATTAGCTGACAGTGCTGCAGGTGAGTGGTCTGCTTCCGTGGACGTTCCTTGTATGACATATGGCGCAGCATTGTTCCTTAACTCCCGCTCCTATCAAGGGCTGGAGACTAAAATTGGAGAAGATTCTCCGTCTGTCCTGGAGCAAGGCCGTAGTGGTATCGCTCGTGGTTATTCTGATGATCATGCATGAATATATCACACGTGTTAATGTCGGGTTTTGATGCGCTCTAGGAATGTTGTGATGCCCCTCAAACTTTTGCGCCTCGTCGTCAGACAGAACCCCCAGGGTATATCATGTCCCACAGTATTCAAAGGTTCTCTCTTGCATCTGACGCTGTCATCGCCAGTATGTTCGTGCATATATACAATTAGGGTATAATATGAGAGGTGTTCATTAGTTTATTCAAAGCATGTATATTGACAGTCGGGCGACTGATCCAGTATTAGGAAAGTAAAGCGCGCATGATCCATAACCTCCTACGGCCTTGCCTGTTGCGTACCCCCGCGTTCACTCTTTCCCCACCCTTTCTCGCGAAGCTCCTCCCATACGTCGTCCATGCCCACTGCGACGCGCTGTTGGACGCTTTCAAACGAGTCAAGAGCAGGTCGGACATCCAATGCAAAACCGGGGTCCCCGTTGGAGGTAGAGGGTGCAGAGTAGTAATCAATGACATAGCGAACCTCTGTTCCGTCGCGCGGACGACGTACTATCCAATCATGGCGATCAAATGGAGGCTCAGTGCTGTGATACTGATGTCAGCATCTAATGAATACACAGCATGGACAAACCTACTTGAATCTAGAAGGAAGTAACCAGCCAGCCAGCATCCAGAACCTTGCCTTTGGCGACATCTCGCCCGGACGTCCCTTAAAGCGAGCAAGATGCGGTTCATCGTCACCCTCCCTGAAAAGTGAGAAAAAAACATCAATAATCATAATCAGCATAACAAGCATACAACGCACTTTGCGACCCTCTTCTCCCACTTCATCACTTCTCCCCAAGCTCTCTCATTCAAAAAATTGTGTATTTCCACCACCATCTCAACATGCTCAGCGGGCGTATCCATACCTTTTCTTACCAGTGCATTATAGAACTGCTGAGGAGATGGGTACTCCCACGTTTGGCGGGTGTCAGTTCCCGTTTCACCATCCACCACACGTGGTATGGATGACATGATACGCTCAGTCGGTAATGGTATGGTTTGTGGGTGTATGGGAGTCTGAGGGAGGTTGGGCATTTGATTGGTGGGATTTAATATATTGAGTGAAGAGTGATCAATGGGACATCCCCCCGAGGATTTTGAAATAGGTGGGTCGTTGTGCTGGATTGGACAGCCAGTGCTGGGCGCATCATGCATTGGGCACGATGACGGTGGAGAGGCGCGTGTTACAGTTGCGGGAGGTGACGAGGATATTGATTGACCCATGGTAACAGAAGCAATTGAGTTACTTCGAATGTCGTCGTGCACGTTGAGCAATTTGTTCAATGCATAAGTATAGAAGCAAAATACTTGGCCTAAGCCGGAATGACCCGCGGCCACCCCAGGCTGCTGCCGTACGAGCAATGTAGGACGGTATTATATCTAAGTGTAGCTGTGAGACAATATCAATTGAATGGCATATTCAGTGAGGCCCCATGGTTTGATTTTTGAGGCCGTGTCTCGAGGAATTGCAGTGTCTCTCAGTTAATAAGTTTCTGCGTCACGCATCGGGTTCCTGATCAATCATATATGAATGGGTTTGAGCTAGCCAAGTACCCATGAATTGTGTGTAGTGCCTGCTATGTACAAGCTGTGATCATCGATCGGATGTTCTGTAAAATCGCGCCAAACTTTCGAATCAGTAGAAGAAACGAGTGGAGTGAGCGTGGTATTGCAAATGGTGTGCGTTAGAAGATGAAGAGAAAGATGTGTTAAGCATTAAAAACCGATAACTTGAGCAATCTAAGTTCGTCCCTTCTTTTCCATGTCTGGTTTGTGTAAACAATTGGACAACGGCAAACGAGGAGAGGAGATAAAAGTAAACATCCACTTTCACATCGCCATCGACCTTGCAATCTGTGCCAATTGCTCCGCCATCTCGGGGTAGTTACGTGTGAACTCCAACTGCGACGTGCTCGCCTGTAAACCGCCTCGTTAGATCAGAATCAACCCAGTGGCCTCGCATCGACTCACATATTGGTACGTAAGAGCATTGATCAGCTCGGGTTCACTGCGCGCCAGTTCCGCTTGCCTTTTGAACATCTCAACAGCGCGGTCAATCTTGCCCTGCTGCAATGATAGTTGCGCGAGGGTGGCGACAGCAGGCTCGCACTCAGGATCAATCTGCAAGGCTTCATCGCAGCACCGCTCTGCAGCAGTGATGTCTTGTTTCCATTGGTAGATGGCAAGGCCCTTGTTAACAAGAGGGAGAACGTTCATCGGGGGAGGTCTGGTTGAGTGAAAGTTAAGTCGATGTGTTGAATAGAAAGAAAGAAAAACATACTTGGCGCGCTCAAGCTCCACAGCACGTTCAAACTTATCAACAGCTTCCATGAAACGTTGTTGATCCAACAACAGCTCGCCACTAGTGTCAAGGCATTAGATCAAAGTTATCAATGAATGCAACTACCCACTAGTAGTTCTGAGGCTCGCTCCGTTGAGGGAAATTGGTCATCGTCCGTCGGAAAGTCGCCATGCTTCGCGCAAGTTCACCCAGCTTGTATTGGGCTACGGCAAGCTGGATATGTGAGAATACAAATGTGTCATCGAGCTCGCTGGACTTGGTGTAGTTGTCTGCGGCCTCCTTGAATTCGTTGGTGATGAAGAGAACTGCAAATCGATGAACGACAGTTGACAATACAGGAAACAAAATGCTCACCTTGTCCACGGTGGTAATAGATGTCGGGGTCCTCGGGGTTGTGCTTGATCGCTTCCTCAAAGCACTCAAAGGCCTTTGCACCTTCGCCTTGCTCCATGTGCACGCTCGCGATCTTCACCCAACTCTGTGTCAGGGAGGGAAAGATTTTGACGGACTCATACAAGTCATCCTTAGCGCCGGACACGTCACCCATGAGGAACCTATATAAAACTGAGTCGACACATCTCAGAGGAGCAAGAAACTGCGAACTTGAAAGTGCCGCAAAGGTTGAGAGCTTCGGCTTTGCCTATCTCCCATGAAATACCTTGCTCCATTGCCTCGTTTACGAGCGAGACAGCGTGCGCATAATCGGCGGCTTCTAAAGCTTGCAATGCGAGTATAAGAGTATTATCACCGGTCGATGGGTTCTCCGGGAGTGTGGGCAGGGGTCCTGTACAAGATTAGTTTCAAAAATAAAAACGATACAGGTGAATGTACGTACGGACACGGAATGCCGCAAAGTAAGCCGAAACAAACGTGAATGAGGGAAGTCGAGGTTCGCGGGTCTAAGGCCAATGAGTAACGCGCCAGTGGTTTCCCACATGTCATACTTACCGTAAGGATGGCAGCAGCTTTTTCTGTTGCGATCTTCTTAAGGCAGCGTTCCACAGCCTGCGCTGCCTGCTCATTTTGGAATTTATCCAAGATGGTGGCAGCAGTGAAATCCCGCAGAGCCTCCTCGTTTCTTGACAAGGCTTCAAGAGCATTGGCACGCCTGTTCAGGGCTTTTACGTAGCTGGCGTCAGCACGTAGCGCCTCGTCACAGTCCTGGACCGTCAGCTCATACTTAGGGGGTGTCATATTCATGTAACCTGATATACAAGTGAGACGTGTGCCACGATGATATTGGCGGGAAGGACGCACATGCCGCGCGGTTGCTGTAATACACGGGCTCCGATTTCGTTGCCACCTGGATTGCACGCGTATACATGTCTACTGCCTGCTGGAACTTTCGGTTCTGGTATAACGTGTTACCCCGTGTCTTGAGTGTGCCTGCCAATTTTGTGCGCTCCTGTGGACTCTTATGTTGAGGTGAACATATAACCCAGTATTAAAAGTACTGACCGCCACTGACATCCCGGCAATCTCTTCAACTGATAACTGCACATCCTCTATTTGGTGGTGAGCGTGAGCCTGCAAATGACAGTAATACTAACCCTCTTCAACAACTTTGGGCTTTATCTCCTCAAGTAGAGGACCGTCTGCATCATTGACGGTCTTCCGCTTCTTTGAAGACTTCTTTTTGTCCCTCGCCTTGCCCTTCTCCAAGTCACCGCCTGGACCGCGCGAAGTGGAAGCATAGTAAACGACACCTCCAACAGCGAGCGCGGCAGCAGCTGTTCCAATAACAACTGCTTTTTTATTTTCGGATACGAAGTCCTGTATTCTCTCGAAGTAGGAGGTTGACGAGGTAGTGGCCATGATGGGTGAATGAGCAGACGGCGGTGACGCGCAAGAACGTTCGGCTTGAATATCTAGTACCACCAAAATTTCCTCCAAAATATCGTGGGATTTTACGTCATATGTAGTGCTGTTTGACCCGAGGCGACCCCTCTCAGGCTACAGTCGTTTCAAGTTTGTATGGCCGGGTTAGGCCATGGACATACAGCAGACTCGAGTTGGCATAGTACTGCATGTCCAGCCTGATGGCAATGGAATTTTGGTGCATGGATAGCAGTCAGACTGACCATCAAGCTGTTGCGCCTTGCTTGCTTTTATCATTCAAGTCAGCTATCCGTCCAGCGTTTAGTTCTCGGAATATCGGCCCTCCGACTATTTTGAAAGTCTATCTGATTATGGTCCAGTTCATGCGTACCATTTCTCAATTCTCATAGATTCTCACATGTGACTCCCGACATTGCGTTTAGCTCTCACCCCCATTCTTCGACATTGCTTAACTGTCGCCGCTCACTAGTCGACTTCATTTGCCCCAGTTTATCAGCGCAGGCCATGTCTTCATCACCAAAGCCCTCAGCTCCGGTAATAAATTTCCCCAATTCCCCAATTCCGAAGAACCCACTTGGAGAGGGACGGTATATCAAGACTGCTGCTGCTCTCATCATTGGGTATGTCCCATCCTCTAGAAGCACGCAGCTAAAATCATGGCAACACTATAGAGATGAAATCCTGAATGGAAACACGCTGGATCGTAACTCGAACTACTTTGCGCGCTTCTGCTTTGAGAATGGAATCGAGCTGTGAGATTTTGTCCAGCATTTTCTTTGTAACCCCGCTTATTTTCTCCAGCCAAAGAATTGAGGTCATTGCAGACGACGAACTCGAGATGTAAGTGAGTTCACCCTTGCTGTTGTCAGAAGAGATAATATTAGAGGATTTCTAGCCTTGAAGCTAGCCGAAGGCTGGTCCAGAAATACGACTTTGTCATAACCTCTGGTGGTATAGGGCCCACTCATGATGGTATAGTGCTTCAACCCCTGTTGTGACTGTCGGAGGTCTGAATGCCTCCATTTCGAGATATCACATACGCATCGCTCGCAAAGTCTTTCGGACAAAAGCTAAAATACCATGACGAAACTCTCAGGCGTATGGAAGAAGCCAGCCGACACCGCACGTGGATCTCGCAGCAGAGCGAGGAGCAACGTACCGCTCGTAAACGCATGGCACTGTTTCCGGAAGCCGGAGAGGTTCTTTTTGTCGCTAGCGATATCTGGGTTGTACGTATTGCTTTCCTCTTCGCGTGGCGTCGTGCACTGACTCGGAGATACCTTGTCAGCCTGTGATTCGACTGGAAGGCAAGCTATGCATATTCCCAGGAATTCCATCACTCTTTCAGAAGCTGCTAGACAACTTAAAGCCTTTCTTGCCTCTACCCGCGGACGATGAGCGCCCCTTCCGGCTTCAAGTTTTTACTCCGTGCGTCACTGTCATTATTTGTGCACCGTTAGTAGATCAAGCTTCCTGACCATACTTGAAGGCTTCCGGAATCGTCCATTGCGCCATTCCTTACAGATCTACAGAAGCGTGTCAAGCCTGAGAATATCCGGATAGGCTCTTACCCACTCCTTCAACCGGGGGCACACGTTGCACTCATCGGGTTAGACCGTGAACGTGTGAAAGAGCTTGGGTTGGAGGTGGAGAAAGAGTTGCAAGGACGTGTGCTTAGTGCAGAGGAGACCGAGGCAATGATCAAGGTAAAGAGGCAATGATGTAGGTACTAGTGTATCACGTCGCGCGCTCGGGGGATACACGGTCACCTTCGCGGCATGAAAGGCTCAACATTGGGCAGGCTCCGAACTTTCAGACTGACGCAAACTGCTCCAGTTTAACATCTCCCGCGAGAACGTCCCTGAGCAGCACCAACGACCCCTCCCAGACTACACAGTCGTTTCAAGTTTGTATGGCCCATGGACATACAGCAGACTCGAGTTGGCATAGTGCTGCATCTCCAGTGGCAATGGAAGCAGTCAGACTACCATCATGCTGTCGCGCCTTACTTTTATCATTCAAGTTAGCTATCCGTCCAGCGTTTAGTTCTCGGAATAAGAATATCGGCCCTCCTAGTGAGCCTCTCACTATTGGCAGTAGTACTTCCCACTTCGTATTTACTTGGTTCTTGGTACTGTATAGTGATTCACCATCGACACTCAGCCTCCCGTTTTATTCTAACTCACGCTGAGACCCAGCAATGCGTTTAGCTCTCACTCCCATTCTTCGACATTGCTTAACTATCGCCGCTCACTAGTCGACTTCATTTGCCCCAGTTATCGGTGCAGGCCCATGATGTCTTCATCACCAAAACCCTCAGCTCCGGTCATAAATTTCCCCAATTCCCCAATTCCAAAGAATCCACTGGGAGAGGGACGGTACATCAAGACTGCTGCTGCTCTCATTATTGGGTATGTCCCATCCTCTAGAAGCACGCAGCTAAAATCATGGCGCCACTATAGAGATGAAATCCTGAATGGAAACATCCTGGATCGTAACTCGAACTACTTTGCGCGCTTCTGCTTTGAGAATGGAATTGAGCTGTGAGATTTAGTTCAGCATTTTCTTTGCAGCCCCGCTTATTTTCTCTGCGGTAATACAGCCAGGGAATTGAGGTCATTGCAGACGACGAACTCAAGATGTAAGTGAGTTCGTCCTTGCTGTTGTCAGAAGAGATAATATTAGAGGACTTCTAGCCTTGAAGCTAGCCGAAGGATGGTCCAGAAATATGACTTTGTCATTACCTCTGGTGGTATAGGGCCCAGTCATGATGGTATAGTGCTTCAACCCCTGTTGTGACTGTCGGAGGGTCTGAATGCCTCCATTTCAAGATATCACTTACCCATCGCTCGCAAAGTCTTTCGGACAAGAGCTGAAATACCATGACGAAACTCTCAGGCGTATGGAAGAAGCCAGCCGACACCGCACAGGGATCTCGCAGCAACTTACCGCCGCTGGTAAACGCATGGCACTGTTTCCGGAAGCTGGAGAGGTTCTTTTTGTTGCTAGCGATACCTGGGTTGTACGTATTGCTTTCCTCTTCGCGTGGCGTCGTGCACTGAGATACCTTGTCAGCCTGTGGTTCGACTGGAAGGCAAGCTATGCATATTTCCAGGAATCCCATCACTCTTTCAGAAGTTGCTCGACAACTTAAAGCCTTTCTTGCCTCTACCCGCGGACGATGAGCGTCCCTTCCGGCTTCAAGTCTTTACTCCGTGCGTCATTGTCATTATTTGTGCACCTTTAGTAGATCAAGTTTCCTGACCATACTTGAAGGCTTTCGGAATCGTCCATTGCGCCATTCCTTACAGATCTACAGAAGCGTGTCAAGCCTGAGAATATTCGGATAGGCTCTTACCCGCTCTCTCAACCGGGGGCACACGTTGCACTCACCGGATCAGACCGTGAACGTGTGAAAGAGCTTGGGTTGGAAGTGGAGAAAGAGTTACAAGGACGTTTGCTTAGTGCAGAGGAGACCGAGTTAATGATCAAGGACAAGAGGCAATGATGTAAGTACTAATGTATCACGTCACACGCTCGGGGGGATACACGGTCACCTTAGCGGTATGAAAGGCTCAACATTGGGCAAGCTCCGAACCTTCAGACTGACGCCACTGCTCTAGTTTAACGTCTCCCGCGAGAACATCCATGAGCAGCACCAAGGCTGCTTTCGCAAAAGCTACCATGTTCTTCTCTCTATCTGTGACACCCGTGTTGACGACACGGGTCGCAAAACCTTCACGAGACACCACGGCGATATATGTTTGCCCTGCTCTGTAAGTTATAGGAGTCAACGTCGAGCCATCAGCGAGTGGAAGAATAGTGAGGCCTACACCATGACAATCGGCGGTCCCAGGACGGTAGGGCCTGCGGCACCCCACTCCCCAATGCAGTATGTGACATCCATCTGCTCCCTAACGTTCGCTGCGAGCTCTGTAACGAGTTCCGGTGTGGGTCCACTGGACAGGACTATTAGCAGCTGATGACAACAATAAGCCACCACGACAGACAGACCGGTAGTTCACCATATTCTCATCAGTCCAGCCTGCCCAAGCCCTCCGTGGCTTTCTGGTGTACACTGTCGCTCCTCCCACGAAAAATTGGCTTGCTCCAGACACAGAAAGTAGGGAAGCTGACACCAGACCACCTGATGTAGTTTCTGCTACTGCAAGCGTCGACGAGGTCGACCTCAAAAGCCCGGAAATCTGGTTTAAAAGAGGTTTAAAAGAGGCCGGAGGGAAAGAATCTTCCTCTGTGGGTTCCATCGCTGTGGTGGATAGAGATTCTCGGCTGACGTGCTTCCATGAGCAATTATTCTCTTGAAGCTTATGTATTCGGACTTGACAGTGTGAAGTAGGCACTATACATAGCGTAGATAATAATGCATACATATATTCACCCATCCCAATCCCACGGCGAGGTCACGGGGGTACAGATAGCCAGAGGCTCTGATCAAACGCGGCAACGCCGCGATATCCATTTCTATGTTCCGCGAAGTGCACTCGCGCAAAATGGCGTCAACATAGTAGGGCAACTTGAAGGGTCGATTGTGGAATGTATGGTGATCCAGCGCCATAGAGAACCAAAACACAAATCCATATTGATCAAGAATTCGATACATGACGCAGAACCTTGTTAACTAAGAATTCCTGGAGACACGACCTCAACAACCAAAACCGTAGGGCTTCACATAATCTGCTATTTAATCTATAACTTGAGCCATTGTCTCACAGCTACACTTAGGCGGGGGCAAACACCCAGGCCTGCATGTCGTCCTCCAAATTAATGGCCTGGAGCTTCACCTGTGAATGCCAACCGTGAGTCATTGTCCTCTGACACATGATGAGCGCGTACATTCGTGAAATCAGTGCCGTCCGAAAGGGAACAGGCAAACGTCCCATCAGTGGTCTGGATCCTGCACGTACATGAGTCGCTTGAACAACAATTTGATGCAGCTTTCAGGCCAATTACTCACGAGTACTGTCCAAGGGTGGCGGTCGGAGTGAGGAGCCACTCTGCAACCGCATCACCACCAACGATACCGCCGCCCTAATATATTCGAAGATGCGCCGAGTCAAAACAGTACTTCGTAACATACATGCACGACTTACGTTGCTCGGAACTCCACCCGGGGGTTGAGCGAATGTGCCGGCTGCGACGTTGATGAATCTGACGATCTTGCCTGGGTTCGCGTCGCGCAACACTTGCAACGTCCACTGTGTTTATTGTGAGCCTGGGTCTTCCGAATCAAATAATCAACACTAACGAGCATTGCGGCATCGCCACTCTTGTACTTCGCGTTGTTGCGGGCAACGATAGGGGTGCCTGGTTTGACACTTCCACCTTGCAAGCCAAACAACTGATTGGTCTTGAAATGGGCATTGACGATCTTGTAAGTGCCGGGAAGTGGGATAGACATGGTAAGATGAATTGAGAGTCTGGGACTTGGAGTAAATGTGATTGACGAGTTGAGATGAAGGTCAAACAATCAAACAATGCGATCTTTATATGCTTCACAGCAGGAGATTGCCTTGGAAGGATGTCGTAACTCGTTGAGTATTGTCAGAACGTTCGAGCTTCCGGGATGCGTTTGTCTTGACGTGTGGTGTTTAGGGGCAGATCTACCGTGATCCATGAACGCTAGCTCCGAGACCGTCTGAGCATAAAGTCTTTCACAGGGACCGATAACGTGTCTCTCCGAGAACGAGACAGAGGAATTGATTTCTCTCGATCAAGCAAGAGATATCTGCGGCTGGAGATTCCAAAACATTGTAAATCAAAGAAAGTTGTCCCTGTGGGCCCTGTTGCTTGCCATAGTCTCCTGTAGTTAGACCATATAGAAGGGAGACAACCGTTCCTTCTTGTTCATGGATCTGCCGTGATGCAGAAAATCCGGGGTACGCATCTGATGAGCCCCGTGAGCGCTCTCGAATGATGCTAACGTTGTCCCCGATTTGAATGAAGTGGTAGTCTCGCTCTCCCCGTTCTAGGGCACGACAAAGAATTTGAGGAAATAGGAACGTTAGTAGGGTACGGACGATAAGTCATCCCGTTGCTATTAACCTAAAAGCGATCCGCTCGCCTGCGGACGACGGTCTCGTCACCTGCAATTGCGGTAATTATGCGAGCATTGATGAAATAAACGCCCACCACCGAAAGTGAGAACGGAGACAGGATCATTGAATCAATTTTACGCTAGGTCACGCGGTTGTTTATGTAAGCGGAGTCCCCCAGCCTCCATGCTCGCCGATCATCCGCGTTTGATTGGACACCGCCGTTACAATTGTCTGTGTTTGGTCACTAACGTTGATTCAGTATGTATATCCTATTACTGATGTACTGATATCTTGCCTCTTACCGTACCACCGAATCCCATACGCTCTTTTACGTTACTGTTCTCTGACTGCCCGCCAGTGTTTACCGTCTACTGTGACGGTGTTCCAAGGGGGTCGCCTACCGTCATGCGGGCTTTTGTGCTGCTGAGCTGTGTCATCGCACTGGTTCTCTCCGTCTCGAGTGCCGTTGCAGCATTGACGAATGCGCAGCGACTAGCTCGTGGCTTGCCAATTTCGCCTCCCAAGTTTGGTCGTGCTCGGCCAGGTTATGCATGGACGCCAAGAGCAGATGGTACTTCTAAACCTATGTTTCGAGTACTTGCACGAACTGATATATCGGCGCAGGAGCAACGCCATCCCCGTCGCCTGCTCCCAACAACCTGTGAGTCTGTGTGAAAAATTCACTGAAGTTGTTTTCAAGCCTTTCAGATATGCTGGTCAGGCCCAGGTTAATCCGCAGCGACTAGCTCGGCGTGGCTTGCCAATTTCGCCTCCCAAGTTTGGTCGTGCTCAGCCAGGTCATGCATGGACGCCAAGTCCAGCTGGTACTTCTAAACATATGTTTCGAGTACTTGCACGAACTGATATATCGGCGCAGGAGCGAAATCCCCGTCGCCTGCTCCCCCCAAGATGTGAGTCTGCGTGAAAAATTCACTGAAGTTTTTTTCAAGCCTTTCAGATACACTGGTCGGATCCTGGTTAAGAGCTATGATGGCGAACAGTTGGGACACTTGTATAACTGGGCCTCAGGAATGTAAGAATGTCCGCCGACATTAGTACTCCTCCTATTGAACAATCTGCTGAGCTCAGAAATGGCGTAAACTTTGGTGACTCGAGCGCGGACCTGCATGTGTCGTTCACCAAACCTCGGTCTGAAAAAGGGCTCATCGACATACAGGTCGTACGGTCGGCGTCTAAACTGATCAAGTCTGGTGACTACTTTCGGCTTCCTGACTCGTCCGAGGTTAGTGATGACTGTGTGGGGCGGTATCCCCCACGTTTTTTTTTAACAATTCACAAATATTTGGTAGTACGCCGCATTTCCTGGATCTTGTTATATAGGGTCAACGAGCAACGATACTCTCGCCCATGGCTCCTCAACGTCGGTGTTTTTACAACAGAATCCGGATAGACGTTGATATTTTTCCATCGACAGAGCCGTCGGCTTTGGCAACGTCATCAGAAGTAAGGCTGCACGACTATCGCAGATCAAATACTAATAACACATCATTCATAGCACCTGTGCATTCACCACCCGTCCCTGTGGGCCAGAATAATGCGGACGAGTCGGCTATTTGGACATTCGATCCAAAATCTCTTGAACTGAAGGGTGTGCTGTCTTAATTCTTTCGTCGTCTGCTTATCATTGACACATGTCTCAGTTCACTACGTGAATCTCAACGGCCACAAGGCAAAGACGACCATCGCTTATAATATCTATGACAACACTATATTCTTTGTCGGTGATATCCGCGCCTACAATGCCGCTCAAGTCAATCCCGATTACCACGTCTCACCTATTGTTAGTTGTCAAAGCTGTTCGACTTTCTGCCTGAACTCACTGAGTCACTAACTGGCTTCCAGAGGTTTTACCTTGATTCCGGCACAGCTGTGAGGAGGAAGCATTGATCCAGAAATGTTCTCCCTCTTCCCTTTTGACATTCCCTTCATTTTCTATGACACTCTTTAAGCCCAAGTTGCCGGTTCACTAAATCGGACTCTGAACACCTACATCCTACATACTTGTTCCTAACTCGAACTCGGGTCACACGACAGATTAGCAACATTCATTCAGCAAACAGGTTTACTTAGCACACCTCCCACACCATTACACCAGCATCTGCAAATTATTGTCAGTCCTTGGTGACAAGCACGTAGAATATTGGACGCACCCCATCCTTGTTGATAGGCGGTGTCCACGCACTGTGCGAGTAGGGTGGTGTTCATCTAGCCATTGGTCGCATCCACAGTGGTGGCTGGCTTGCCGATCACCAGCTTGTCCAAAGATACTCCTGCTGCTGCAATCTGGAAGAGTGCAGTGTTCGGCCACGTCGACGATGATGTCGTAAGGAGGCCAGAACACGTTGTGTACCCTCTAGAATAGCTGGTCAATGGCAAGCAAAGAGACAAGAATGCATGACTCACGATTGTAGAACTGTTTAAACTGGGAAAATTATATTGGTATCATGAAATTATTCTTTGTCAAAAAATTCTTGCCTGAACGTTGTACTATAAGAGGGCGAATGAGCTCACGACAATTTACATGATTTTTTAACGCACCCAGTCAATTAACGATGTAGATTACGCTACTTGAAAATGTTGGTTGTCATGTTCGAAGCACCGTGTTTTAAGTCAGTAAACTGAAATCTACAGGCGGCCACATTTGGCGTACTGGAAATGTTACAGTCGTACACACAGCGGTAGTTGAAATGTAGCTCGACCAGGCCGCTGTGATTGGCACCAGCATGGTTTATACTAGTAGTGCAACTGATCAGACCAAACGATTGTTGATTTTTCATGGAACACAAAGCGCGTGAAGATTGACGGTGTTCCTTTGACATATTATAGGGCGCCGCGGATGTGGGGACCAGTACTCGGGGTATACTCCAGGTACACACCTGACAATAGCGAGGTTTGAAGAGGTGCACGCGTGTAAAGTCACATTCAAATTCATCCATTCGTACACGGGGTACAGATAGCCAGAGGCTCTGATCAAACGTGGCAACGCCGCGATATCCATTTCTGTGTTCCCCGAAGTGCACTCGCGCAAAATGGCGTCAACATAGTAGGGCAACTTGAGTGGTCGATTGTGGAACGCACGATGATCTAGCACCATAGAGAACCAAAACACAAATCCATATTTGATCAAGAACTCGATACATGACGCAGAACCTTGTTAACTGAGACATACACTTCCTGGAGACACGGCCTCAACAGCCAAAACCATGAAGCTTCACATAATCTGCTATTTAATCTATAACTTGAGCCATTGTCTCACAGCTACACTTAGGCGGGGGCAAACACCCAGGCCTGCATGTCGTCCTCCAAATTAGTGGCCTGGAGCTTCACCTGTGAATGCCAACCGTGAGTTATTGTCCTCTGACATATGATGAGCGCGTACATTCGTGAAATCAGTGCCCTCGGAGAGGGAACAGGCGAACGTCCCATCAGTGGTCTGGATTCTGCGCGTGCACGAATCACTTGAACAACAATGTGATGCAGCTTTCAGGCCAATTACTCACGAGTACTGTCCGAGGATGGGAGTCGGAGCGAGGAGCCACTCTGCGACAGCATCACCACCGACGATACCGCCGCCCTAGCATATTCGAAGATGCGCCGAGTCAAAACAGTACTTCGTGACGAACATGCATGACTTACGTTGCTCGGAACTCCACCCGGGGGTTGAGCAAATGTGCCGGCTGCGACGTTGATGAATCTGACGATCTTGCCTGGGTTCGCGTCGCGCAACACTTGCAACGTCCACTGTGTTTATTGTGAGCCTGGGTCTTCCGAATCAAATATTTAACACTGACGAGCATTTGGGTCTCGCCACTCTTGTACTTCGCGTTGTTGCGGGCAACGATAGGGGTGCCTGGTTTGACACTTCCACCTTGCAAGCCAAACAACTGATTGGTCTTGAAATGGGCATTGGCGATCTTGTAAGTGCCGGTAAGTGGGATAGACATGAGGAGCTAAGCTGAGAGTCTGGGACTTGGAGTAAATGTGATTGACGAGTTGGGATGAAGGTCAAACAATCAAACAATGCGATCTTTATATGCTTCACAGCAGGAGATTGCCTTGGAAGGATGTCGTAACTCGTTGAGTATTGTCAGAACGTTCGAGCTTCTAGGATGCGTTTGTCTTGACGTGTGGTGTGTAGTTCGTGACACATGAGCTCCGAGACCAGCTGAGCAGAAAGTCCTTCACAGGAACTGATAACGTGTCTCTCCGAGAACGAGACAGAGGAATTGATTTCTTTCGATCGAGCAAGAGAGATCTGCGACTGGAGATTCCACGGCATTTAAAATCAAAGAAAGTTGTCCCTGTGGGCCATGTGGTTTACCGTAGTCTCCTGTAGTTAGACCATGTAGAAGGAAAACGACCGTTCCTTCTTGATAATGGATCTGCCGTGATGAAGAAAAATCCGGTATGGCGCATCTGATGGCCCCGTGAGCGCTCTCGAATGATGACAACGTTGTCCCCGATTCAAATGAAGTGATAGTCTTGTTCCCGCAGTTCTAGGGCACGACAAAGTCATTTGACTTCGGCGTTTGAGGCAACAGGAGCGGACGAGAACGTTTTGTGTATTTCGGAGGTAAATCGCATCACGTGTCAACGCCAACGAAGAATTTGATTTCAAGAATCAACTTGCCTGCGAAGTTCCCTCTCAGTCGTTCCACGTCACTCTAAATCTCTGCGCTCGACTTGGACAGCGATGGCGCAAGTCCTCAGCGGATGCTCCGCCTCGAAATACCAACCCAAGGCATTCATTGCGCTGCGTAAACCTTTGTAGAGAATATCTGGGAAATAAACACAGTGTTAATGAATAGGTATGCAGTATTTCATATTCCTCCACGGTAAACAGCTGCAATATGGTAGCTAAGAGAGCAGATAGCAATGGGGATATATATGCAAAATGAAATGCAGTCTTGAGGGAATAGAAGCCTTAGTGGTGTGAATGGCTCAATATTTGGCAGGCTGATGCTGCTGCTCCAGTTTAACATCTCCCGCGAGAACGTCCCTGAGCAGCACCAAGGCTGCTTTCGCAAAAGCTACCATGTTCTTCTCTCTATCTGTGACACCTGTTTCCACGACCCGAGTCGCAACACCTTCCCGAGACACGACGGCAATACATGTTTGCCCTGCTCTGTGAGTCATAGGAGTTAACGTCGAGTCATCAGCGAGTGGAGGAACAGCGAGGCCTACACATGGACAAACGGCGGTCCCGGAACGGTAGGACCCGTAGCTCCCGACTCCCCGATACAGTATGTAACATCCACCTGCTCTCTGACGTTCGCTGCGAGCTCTGTGACGAGTTCCGGTGTGGGTCCACTGGACAGGACTGTTTATTAGCAGCCGATGATAACAATAAGCCACCGCAATAAACAGACTTGTAGTTCACTAAGTTCTCATCGGTCCAGCCCGCCCAAATCCTCCGTGACTTTGTGGTGTATACTGTCGCTCCTCCCACGAAAAACTTGCTTGCTCCAGACACAGAAAGTAGGGAAGCTGACACCAGACCACCTGTTGTAGTTTCTGCCACTGCAAGCGTCGATGAGGTCGACCTCAGAAGGCCAGAAATCTCAGTCAAAAGAGGCTTAAAAGAGGCTGGAGGGAAAGAATAATCCTCTATGGAGTCCATTGCTGTGGCGGATAGAGATAAGAGATTCTCAGCGCTTGCGTGAGTGATTATCATCCTCATTCGGAGTCGCAATTGTGTTCAATTGGTCAAAACCGAGAACTAGGACATTTACCCATCCCACGGAGGGACAGCGCATATAGTCAAACAGAAGCCCCAATCAAACGCTGCAAGGTCGTGATATCCATTTCTTCATTCCGCGGAGTGATACTGCAAGAGAATGGCAAGGGTCGCCTGGAGTGATAAATCAGCACCTCTCCATGAATCCTACCGAACACCACGTACACAGTTAGGCTTCCCGACCACTGTGGCTTGAGCTCGATCTCCGCGCCAGTTTCATCTTTAGCCTTCAAAAATTTGAAAACCGCAAGCAAGCAGGCCATTGAGGACCATAATGAAGCTTCAGCAAGATATTGACCAGGGCAAATCCGCCGTCCGAATCCCCACACGATGCTTACGGTATCGTCTGTCAGAGTACCGTCTGGGTTCAGGAAACGGTCAGGGTTGAATTCAGACGCATTTCGGTATTTCTCTTCGTTGTGGCACATCGCCCTAAGGAGGATTGCGTTGCAAGACCCACAAATTAGAGAATCATTGTGCTTACCAAACATTCGGGGTGATCGTAGCACCTACAACTCAAATCAGCATCAACGGAAGCGGAGAGGAGAAATTCGCATAACTTTAGGTATGTAGTAACCTTTGTAAACGTCACTTTCGACAGCAGCATGCATGATTGCTATAAATGCGTTAATGAGCATTGATCTGTTTCTGTTGCGGTAGGCGAACAACACACCGAAAGGGAAGACTGGGCGCCACCGCATGCACTCGCGTAAAATGGCGTCAACGTAGGGCAATGACGCGCGATCCTCGAACGTTGGAAATCTGTTCGAGCCAACCACAATTTCAATGAGATCGTGCGCTCTCTCTTGTATATGTGGGTAGAGAATCATGGCAAGGATGAAGTTCATCAACACGGTGGCTGTCTATGTAGTACTGGTCAACATTGGGCCAAATCACTGACTGCTTCCTGCCTACCGTTTCAGTACCAGCTGTTCGCGAGACGCCCTATTCAGCCTGACAAGATCACATTGAATGATATATATTCACCACCAAAAGCAGTTCCTGCAGATTCCTTTATGGCTTTCTTCTGCCAGGCTGCATCAACATCGTTTTCATCGAGCGCCAGCAGTTGTTCGGAAACCATGCATGAAGAAACGGATCCTGTTGCCTGAAAAAGCGATTGTAAACAAAGCACCTCACGAAATGTTACACTCACCATGCCGCGCTCCGTGTGCGCAAACGGAGTTTCTAAGATATCTAGCACCAATTCCTTGGCAAAAGGCGCCACTCTCTTGACGTGCATTCCAGGCAGCCAAGACGGGAGGCGGAGCACTGTGGACTAGACAGTAAGGAACTACCAGATCATAGCAGGACGACGTGGCCTACAGGATGGGAAAGCACTGAAAACCATAGTTATCCCTGGTGTCATCTCCTTCCGCATAAAATGCAGACCCTTCGTTATACGCTCAAGCATGTGGTCATCACGGCGTGCCGCGTCATATGAGTATACAGCAGACATAATAACCGAACCTGAATACCTGAACACTGTTCAAACCCAAACGGTAAATAGATGTGCATGGAAATCTGCTCACACTTCAAGGTGTTTTGCGAAGTCCAAAGGATTCTCCAGGAGGTTCAATAAAAGTTCGTGGGTTTTTGCGACATGCATAGGTCGAAAATTGTGGGCCACATCTTGACGGAAGGACTGGTGGAAAATTTTCCGCTGAAGCCGCCATCTGTTACTGTATCGCATGAGAGCAGTATTGTAGTCAAGCCCAAATCTAAGAATTGACGACTATCATGAGCAACGAAAATGTTTAATGATGTCATACTCCACACAGTTCATTGGATACTATCTCCGGTCGATCAGAGTAGTTCTGTGATCGACGTTCGAGGAGATCTCTTGCAATTTCCTCAGAGTTGACAACAATGTTATCATGGCCAAACAGCCGGGTCAAAACCATGTCACCTGGAGAAGTACCAGTTAATGCTGGTAGTCAAGAACAAAGATTTTGCGGGACCGCTTGCCGTATTGACTGCCCCATGCCGTGTAAGTAACCCAAGGGGCACTCACGTCGATTGCCAGTGCATTCCCCAAAACCGGGAGTGAAGTTGGACCTGGGGGCAATTGAACACCAGGAGGCAACCTCGGTTTGGCAAAGTGATGTGTGAACACATAACCAATTGTAATGGCAGCGAGAAGTGCGACAAATCCACCCGTGACATCCAACATAGCAAGAATGGACTCCCGGGCGAATGAAGAGGAGTGGGTCCTTGATAACCACCGTGCGAGAATCTGGCCCTTTCTAGGAGGAGATTACGTGCAACTTAATGGTCATCAAGGGCCCCGCAATTGAACGGAACTAGATGACCGCGACATCGTGGAGGTACTCGAGGCGGTGGTCGCCTCAATGATACGGCACTGCACTGATTAGAATAACGCCTAATGAAATTGACCACTGCTCCTACCGGCACTCAGAACTCAGACCATGCTTCAGCGCCAAAGGTCAGACCGTGTAGTAGGACAGCCTCTAGATACCACCATTGAATTTCAAAACCCTAGGCTAGCCTGTTGAATCAATATCGTGACAGTGGTGGGGAAAACGGCAAACCAGATTACGGTAGTGTGCAGACTCTAGGCGCTACTGTATATTCTTGAATACATGGTGGGTCAACGCTAACGATGCCACCGGTACCACCGTTCATTCATGCTGAGCGCTGATGTTGTTCGACTTGTAGAGAGTCGAGACAAAACAAGGACAGCTCACGAGTTGTTTTTACATGATTTTTCACCACAGTTACTAAATTTACATAATTGGGCATTGTGAGTCAAGGTACAACCCTGTGGCCTGACAGCGCCGCATCCAATATGGTCCATAGGGAACCACGAACGGGATTCATTGACGTGCACAGCTGGGTTTACACAACTCGATGGATTTCAGCTCCTAATTCTCGATGTCTGCTCAGAGCCTCACACACTGGCAGATATCACCATTCCTAGGTGTTTGCCAGTATGACGAGTGCTGGAAACATGGAAAAACTCAAATTCGTGTATGATCAACGCAGAACTTGTTAACTGATACACGACCTCGACAACCAAAACCAAGAAGCTTCACTGAATCCGCCATTCGATCGCTAACCTGAGCTATTGTCTCACAGCTACACTGAGGCGGGGGCAAACACCCAGGCCTGCCTGTCGTCCGTTAAATCGGTGGCCTGGAGATTCACCTGTGAATGCCAACCGTGAGTCTGTGTTCTCTGATGCATGGTGTGCGCGTACACGAGTGAAATCAACGCCCTCAGAAAGGGAACAGGCGAACGTCCCATCAGTGGTCTGGAGTCTGCGCGTGCACGAATCACTTGAGCAACAATGTGATGCAGCTTTCAAGGCCAATTACTCACGAGTACTGTCCGAGGGTGGCAGTCGGAGTGAGGAGCCACTCCGCGACAGCATTACCACCGACGATCTCGCCGCCCTAGCAAATTCGAAGATGCGCCGAGTCAAGACAGTACTTCGTGACGAACATGCATGACTTACGTTGCTCGGGACTCCGAGCATGGGTTGAGCGAATGTGCCGGCTAAGACGTTGATGAGTCTGACGATCATGCCTGGGTTCGCGTTGCGCAACACTTGCAACGTCCACTGTGTTTATTGTGAGCTTGGGTCTTCCGAATCAAATAATTAACACTAACGAGCATTTGGGTCTCGCCACTCCTGAACTTTGCGTTGCCGCGGGCAACGATAGGAGCTCCTGATTTGACACTTCCACCTTGCAAGTCAAACAACTGATTGGTCTTGAAATGGGCATTGGCGATCTTGTAAGTGCCGGGAAGTGGGATAGACATGGTAAGATGAATTGGGAGTTTGTGACTCGGAATGGCTGTGATTGAAAGTTGGGTTGATGAAGGTTACCGTCAGACGATGCAACCTTTATATATTTTGCAGCAGGGCATTGCCTCGAAAGGATGTTACGGAGCATTATCACGACGTTTGAGTTTCTAGGATGCGTTTGTCTTGATGTGGGTATGATTTGGACACAGATCTGCTGTGATCCAGAAACTCCGAGACCGCCCATCTAACGAGAATGAAGTGTTTGAGAGTGACAGGTAACCTGGCCGAGCTGATTTCATTTGCCACGCACAGAGAGATCTACCGGTACAGTTAGAGATTCCAAAGCGGTGAGTACAAAAAGAAGGAGCAGCCCCATCTGAAAAACACCCAACTTCTCGGTTAAGTCGGTTAAGCTGTCAAAGAAGTTTGATGGGTTACGGCCTGCACCCTGATCGCGATATTGGCACAGGATACAGGCAGAAGGATATATCCTTATGGCAGCGC